GCACTGGGGGATCACGGGTTTTGCTGTCCAGCAGCAGGACTTGCAGCTGCTTGACTCTGTAGGCAGTATTTCATGTGCTGTTACACTTCCCCTGTTCCGTAACGGGTGTCACCACATCCTGGCAGCAATGCTCAGCGGGCAGATAGTCTTGTCACAATGCTGACAAGGGATCTGGCTGTTCTATAACGGGGGTCATCACATCTTGGTGACAACCACAGTGTTGAAAAAGGGAAGAGAGAAGGAGGTGATACATGATCAGCACGCTTACATTTTATGGCCCTTTGTCTTAGGAAATGGCATTGCTTTTGCTAACCATATTACCAGGAGTCAGGAGCAGGACATACTGGTCCCATGGCTCCAGCGCAAAGCTTCATCTTAGTGTAAATGCCTCTCCCTAAGCAAAATCACACACTGCAGTTTAGTGCGGCTCTCAAGCGGTTGAGACCTGTACACGTATCACTGCCAACTCTGAGACAGAGACAACAACCCACAGCAGAAGGTAGGAAACATTACCTTACTCATCACTTCAGCTGTGAATGTGTGTCTGTGACCAGGGAGACCTGTGGATGTGGAAGATTCAGCTCCCACTCAGTTCTCCAGAGGCCTAGGTCTGTGATATGCATAAAGTAATTTCTCTTTCTTTGAGGAAGTCCATATACTCAGTAACTTTTATGTTATATTAAGCATAAATTCTCCAGAAAATTGGCATTGGTCTTTTCTAGAAAGGTGCTTATGTTGGCACAGGACTGAAGGGGAGTCAAAGACACCTTTGCAACAAAGCTGTCAGGGAGGAAGGGCAAGAAACACCAGTATGATCCCTTGCCATAGTACTTGCTGTAATCCCGGACAATTGAGCACGAACATGCTCTTGATGAGGAGACTCCAATGTTGTTTTCACTCAGAGCTTTTGTTGGTGGCAAATGCTCTTCCAAGCTTATTGCAAGCAGTGCATGGTAGTGCATGGTCTTCATGACAATGCATTAATCACAGCCAGTGACAAAATGTCTTCTGGACCAAGCGTTATGTGATCTTTGATATCTTTGTAAACAGTAATCACATCACTTACGTAAGAACAAGCACTGCAGTGTGTTCCCTCTGTATCTCAAGCCATCTTGTTCCTCATGCCTCACCTGGGTCTGTCTTTTCACACACGCAGTGGACTACTCCATTCATAAACTAACTGCTCTAATTTGCTTTTCTGACATGAGGTCTTAATGGCACATTTAAGCCCTGATAGCAGTTCATCTATCAGCCACAGCTTCTGTGAGGCTCACAGTGGTCAATGCTGGAGAAAATTCTTTCTGTGAGCAATATATGGCTGGATGAGTGCCCCAGCAGTGCCTACACCCCCAGGTAAGCACATCTTCTCAGCTCACAGCAGAAGATATTCCTATCTCTGTATTGGAAGAGCCTGCCTACTGTGATTGCAGCCTGCTCTCACTATCTCTGTGACTCTTCACAGCCTGTCAGTTTTTCTGTTGACATTTTTTCAGTTCATCACAACCTCTCTCTTTCCTGTAGGCTTGCTTCCATAAGACTAAAGTGCTTAGGCTGCCTCGAACCAGCAAGTGGGATGCTAACTCCTCCGAAGCTGTGTGTTTGAGTCTGTGTCCATGTTCACTTTGCTAGCAGTTCCTTTTTATCCTTTGGTTTACCTTCACATGTTCACACAGACAGCAATACGGAACTGAACAGGGAAAACAAGTCACACATAAAATATTCATGAAAGATAAGACAGATACTTTCCCAGTTTGTCAGCTCTGTCTGAGATTCATCTCCTGGCTAATCTGTTGCAAAGTCTGCTTATGTTCTGCAGGAGACTTAGTTTTTATCCTTGTATGATGCAAGTAATCCATCTATTTGTGTCTGAAGGCTTTATTTAATTCTTACTTTCTTCCAAAGGAAACGTACCCTGTGTTTTATCCAGAAAACAGTTGCACATTTCTGCTAAAATATTCTCGTCTTCATGGCTCATGCAGATTTAGACCTTGTTTATGGAACATATAAGGACTTTTCATTCCAATACATCTGAGTGATTCTTAGAGGTTTTTTCTTTCCTTTTCTTTTTTGTAGATAATTTTCTTTTCCATTATTGGTATTATTACATTCATGGAAGAATATGTTGGGGAAAAAAAGGACAAAGACAGGGTTCTACTACTGTGGGTTTTTTTCTGAAGAAGCAACAGCGAGGGAAGCAGAAAATATGGCCTGTAGCCTCCAAATAGCATCCTCAAACTATGGATAAGGAGTAAACCAAATACTAAGCAACAAAGCAGCGGTTTTTCTTACACTTAGGCAACAGTGACTGTTCCTTTGACAGCAAATGTTGAAAACAGGCACAAACATTGTGCTAGTACAATTCCTAATTAATTGTTTCAGGTTATTTTCTCAGTATCTAAGATATTGATGTCATCTGAGTCAATTTAAAGCTCTTCACATTATAGCTCAGAAAAAGTTTGTTCAAATAATGTTAGGCTCAGTGACCTACAGCAGAAACACATCTTGACCAAATTCAGTAACTAGAGCCACACTGGGAGGCTAGCATGAGATAAGTGTCATCCTATTCAGGTGAGGGAAAAATAAAACTGGGAGTAAAGCCTTCTAATCATAACTGGAGTGAAGGCCTGAGAAAACTGCCTTTTAATTTCTAATCTGCATTGTATAATGATGGAAGAGGTAAAAACTATTGGGAAATAGGTACGAACAGTTTAACTCCCTCTGCTTTAATCCATGTCCATGCACATGGACTGGCAATGGGACTGCAAAGTGACTGATAACACATTGTCTGCATCATTCTCCGGTTCTGCGCTGGAGCCTTCTGTTCAAACATGTTATCTCTCCCACCTTGTTTGCAAACCAGAGAGTTCAGCAATGGTAATAAATTGGTACCATTACCGCATGGGCACAGCATCATTAAATATCATCGTCAGGGTGACATACCTCCATGTGCAAAAAAACCATGTTGAAGGCTGTCTTGTATTAGCTGTGAATAATATGATCTGTTGGTTGCTTACCAACAAGCCCTGGCCTTTAAACCTTTTAGGATCATCTTTCTCACACACTGGTTTCTTGGATTTTGAAACAGTTTGGCAGTAAAGGGGAGATCTCTATTCATTGTGTTTCAGCAGTAAGAGAAGTTCTTCTCTGTGAAAGACCCAGCACGCTGAAGGGTCGGGAACAAATTTGCAGGGCCACAGCAGGTCTGACTTAGCCAGCACCTATTACGGAAAACTTAATGTTCTTGCTTTTGTCCACCACAGAAAAATTCTGTTAAGCAAAGATTTGTGTATTGCCCATGGTTGATGAGGAGAATTATGAAAAGTAGTACGAGCCAGAAGAATTATTAGACTCAGAGAGAGACATGGGGTATGCTTTTTAGAAGGGCATTTAATTCCCTTTTTCCACCTTGCCTGTTGTACCTCTCACACTTTATTTCCTTTTTCTTCCTGAAAAATAAAAAAAATACCATTTCAATAGAAAATGCAATTATTGCCTGGTCACAGCAACTTTTAAGATAACTTACAGGTACAGCAGGGAAGTAAAAACACATCAGATGACTTTGAGGTGGTATTTCAATACTCTGATTGATTAAACCAGCATTTTAATACTCAGATCTTAATTGTAGTTTCCATTTTTAATTTCCTTTGAAAGTTATTTACCTTTTGCAAGCCATTTGGATGAAACATTAACGTTAGATTCGAGTTATCTTTACATTTACTAGAGACATCTTCAGTTTCTGCATCTCTTATACCCTTACAACGTATTTTGAATTTTCAGCCTTTTCAGTCGAATTCAGGGAGGAAGAAAAAAAATAGGAAAAATCTCCAAACCATTTTATTTCTTATGGGGTCCCAATTTGTCCAGGCTGTAACCCTGCGCACTCAGGAGTTGATTTGCAGTGGAAAACAACTGAGAGCCAGCTGCAACTGACTCTGGGTTTCTTGATGCTTTCAAGATTATAGATGTTACATTACAGACATTACAGCAGGCACAACCCAAGAACTGAAAATGCAAGTCAGGTCAGAGAGTAACATCAAGCACAAGCGCAATGAGAGCCTCAGGCTGACCTGTGGATTTTAGATCCTGTTTTTATTTTGAATTGGCTCTTTCAGAATTGTAGAGTTATAATTGGCCTTATTATAACAGCAAACACAGCCATGATAGTTTTGAAATACATGACAGCCAGAACTTTTTCCTCCTTCACAAAAAGGTTGGCTGTAATACTGCAGTGCACTAGAGACCAGTCTGGGAGCAGTGGCTGTCCCAGATCTCCTGCCACACTACCTGACTATAAGCTGTTCAGGACTATGAAATGCTGGTAGTATTTTTTAAAACAAACTCAAACTAAATAAAAATGCCAGGCAGTTACCTGGATTCATCTAGGAAAGACAACTCCCTGTAAAACTTCTGTTTTAGAATAGGGGAACAAATCTTGAACATTTACTACTGCTTTTAGGCATGTGTATGATGAAAGAGAGAAACTGGAAAAAGTTAGATACAGCATATCCGAGGATGTTAATCCCACATGTTTACCTGTTCAGAGCTTGCAGTCACTTGAGTGGTATTTCAACCGTACCTGTGTTTCTCTCCTGCAAATAATGTTTCACAGAAGCGGTTCAAAGCACTTGCTTCTACAGGAGCAGCCACAGCAGAAATGTCCTGAAGTGTGTGTTGTAACACAGACCAGGAGCGTGTGATCAGACACTCGCTGTCAGACTCGTTAATGGACTTCATGGAAGGAAACACACACCGCTTCGCAGTTAACGTCGGCAATGGCCGTTTCTCAGTCAGCTCCATCTGCCTTTCGGGTAGCTTTTTTGCTAAGTATATTTTGGAGGAGGTGTGGGAGGAGGGGGAGATGCTGCTGCTGCATGTTGAATGCAAAGCGCTCAGCTGTGATAGGCTGCGGGGACGTGGATACGCTGCCTATGGACGCCGGCAACTGCATCCTCTGCGCTTTATAGCTGTCACAGAGGAGGAAGGAAAGACAGTGAGAAAGACAGAGGAGAAGGAAAAACCTTACCAACTCGCTGTAAGTAACATTCTTTGTCCTTCATGCTTTGTCGTTATTGAATTCAAGCAGGTCCGTTTGGATTGATGCAAGAAGTGGTTACTTAGAGTGGGAGCTTGGCTAATAAACAGCCAGCCTGTGTTATTTTAGGGATAATCCATGATACTCAAAAAGCATTTCTTTTTAACCTAAGTTTGCACCATGTACTGGGCACCTCTAATTTTGTGTTTGCTTGTTTTTACATATGATGTATGTCAGCTATATCTGTTTAAGTGCATTTATGCCAACTCCCATGTATCCAAAACTTTATATCTTGTCTTTCCAAGTGCAACAGTTCTGACCAACCAAGAAGACCTTGAGAAATTCTCTGCCAAATATTTTTAACAATAAAATTTTCAAGATAAATTCAATGCGTGACTTTTTTGGGTGGGGTTTTCCTTAGAAATAACACTTTCCCATCACTGTAATAAGACCTCGGAAGGGAGGATTACTAAGTTGCAGACTGTGCCAGTGACAGCAATGAATAAAACCAGCAACTTCTAACTGGAAAATGAAATTTTTAAATGAAATGTAGAGCCTGTGACATATATACCTAATTCTTGGCTTGTGCAAAGGTAGAAATGCAGAGTAGATCCAGCTTCTTTTTACTCATGCTCATATAAAATTCATCCTGCAGTCCTTATTTAGGCAATACTTCTATTGCTAATAGTAGAAGTTGAGCTTAACAGTAGCAACAGCTGCAAAAACCTTCAGTTGGGTTCAGTAGCACAGAAAGTCCTCATGGCTTCAGCGATGTCACTGTAGCACCACAAGCCTTTAAATTGCAATATATTCTGCAACAATCAGTTGGCAGAATGGAAAGTGCACTTGTCTCATTTATTGGAAATATACACAGTTATTACTTTTTTTGAGACAATGCAGCTATCAGTTTAAGGTGCTATTAATGGGTCTATGCATTCTTCCTTTCTGTATTTAGTAATAGGAGCTGCTAAAAGATTTTATTATGTTAGCCATTGTTTATTTTACTTTGATGAACTGGAGAACGGGCACTCATAAAATTATAATACGTTGAATATACATCTCTCCTCATTTGTTCTCTTTTTCCCCTTTTCCTCTTTGTTCTCTTTTTCTTCCTCATAACAAATTTCCTAGTAGTATTTAGAGATCTTTTGCATTTTTATTTAGTTAATATAAAAAGCAGATTCTAAAATTATAGACAATACTTTTTAACAGAAATAATGAATAAGCTGAATGTTGTCTACATAGCACAATATTATACCTATAAATGTATTTATGTATTTAATATTTAATTGTGCATAAACTGCTCATTTGTATGGTTCAGTTTGAAATAAAGTAGAAAACAGTTTGCAAATGAACATTATACTGAATATACGATCTAAAGACCAACAACAATTTTTGGTAACTTCACTAAAATGAAATGTTGTCATGTTCTAATTTCAGTGCGCTGAGGTAGAAAGAGTAGTTTAAACAAAGCAGCAAAGGATATGTCAACTTTAGATTGTGTAGTGTAGTTGTCCTGTGACAAATTCCAGCAAAATTAAAGAGCAAAGAGTTTATGTATTGATAAAAAAAGATACATTGATAACATTTAAGGTTTAACATGATTGTTCTTGTTTCTACCCGAAGTTAAGAGCAAAACTCAACCTTCTCCAGTAAAGTAGGACTTGATCTGAAGAAGTATGCAGTGGTGACTATATCCATTGATTCTTGCTGGGAACAAAAGTACTCAGACATAATATATGTTGGTAAAATTGTATTTCATCGATCATACAGTGAGGCTGTTGATGCATTTGAATACAGACTGTGCTTACAAAGTGGTAGAGGTTGATAATTAGGCAGGGTGCCTCCCGAGAAGTTGTGATCTCCTCAGCTGGCAGATGTTGAATATGCTGAAATTCATCCTGGGAGGTGTGGGATCCCTGCGAGCATGGAGCCTTTATCACTCTTACAGGCCTTCAAGAAAACAGACTGCTATTAAATACTCTAGAGAGAGGCTCAGTTTCCCTGAAATTTCCATTTAGTTTCAGAAAAGTGGCCTGCATTATTTTGCAGTATAAGTCCCTTTGACTTAAGTAGATATTTCGAGTACACACAGATTGTAACGCTCAGCCCTTCAAAAAATATGGATGCTCTCAAATAGTGTTTTCATTTTAAACCCTAAGCACTGAGCTGACTGAGGTATTTTGCTTCTTAGAAAAATCACATTCTAGATTTTTAAAATACACCGGCATAGAGGGAAGCTTGCTCTCTATGCATTCTGTTGTTGCATTGTACATGTGTTGTATATGCATGTTAGAGGTAGAAGAGAGAAATATTCTGTACTGGTAGAGGTGAAGTAATTTGCATTTTTATAGTACTAACTGGTAAGCATTACAATTGTCAGATATTCAGTCTACTGGATGTGGCTTCCATAGCAAGTAATACTTTCAAGCAGATGAAGTGAGATCTATAATGAACAGTGGAGGAAAAGAATAAAAATAGGGATGAGAGTGTAAGTGGGTCTTGTCACTCACAGAAGAACAAATATAAAATAGGAGGTGAAAAGGAAAATTTAAATGACCGCTGTGTTCTTGCAAGGGGTATGCCTTCACGGTTCCTGGTGAGATATGTGTATTACAGTAGGTAAGGAATTTTCAGGCAGGGACTTCTAGGAAAGAAGATGCATGGATACATTAAAATAGATAGGTGTTTAGATAGATTTTAATTTCTCAGCATTGTCTTTGGGGGAAAGAAGAATGAAATACTTTGCTTCAGATTGAAGCAGATTGATGTATTTCACTGGATCAAACTGAATTGAAAGTTCATTTGAGGTCAGCTAGATACTAGTCTGTATCAATTTATAACACTGCAGCAACTATGACAGATTTGAGATGGATGGTTCATCCTCCCATTCTTTATGCTTAAGCTTCCTGGTTCAATTACTTCTCCCATGCAAAACAGTGGGTTTCCCCTGTAATGTAATTCTTTATCCTGAATTTTGAGAATGCTATTGCAACAGTGATTTATGACAGAAGTATTGCAGCCAAAACAACGTTAGGATGAGCCAGTGAACCCTCCAGTTCTTGGGAAGAACTATAGTTGGCAAATAACAAATAAGATCTCAGTGATTATCTAAAATGTGTATTTTGTCAAACTGAGTTGACAAATTTCAGTTCCATGGTCATAGGCTGAAACCATAGAATGTGTATCTGACGCTTAGATCTAAATTTTATTTGCTTATCCTGATATCCAAAAAGAACTTGGTCTGAACTGCTAATAATAAAATGACAATAAATTATATCACTATACTATATAGGAACAAGATGATGCAAATATTACTTGGAATAGAAAGAAATTTCACATTCAAAAAAATCTAGGTGGTAGAAAAATGGTCACAAGCTATACATAACGTAGTATCTATGTTGTGGTAATATGATAAAGTAAACCTATTTTTGTCTGTGTGTTTGTGAGTTGTTTCGAGCTTACACACAATGCTATTTAATTTATGCCATTTGATTTATATTTTGAGAAAAGACCAAGCTATCCACAGAGTCTTCCATGTTAAATGATGCCCTATATTTCATTGATACAAAATAAAGCTGGAGTAGTATAGTGATACTATTCTGACATTGTACTGACGGTCCATTGGACCCACAGCTACTCAATGTTCAGTTCAGCTGAACTGATCCATGTGTAAAAGTCAGTAGGGATAACTGTAACTCAGTGGTGAGCAACAGTAGTGCTAGAAACACCAAATCCTCAAGTACTGAGTCAGTTCAGTCTCATGCAACTCCCACTAATTTGGCAGTCATGGGTTAAATACTTATTTTCACAGCTTTCATCTCTGAAACCAGAGGGGGAAAAAAAATAACAGATTACCACGTGCAAGTTCTTCAGAGCATGCTATAGCAATGAACTGATGAATGAAGTAGCATGAAAGAAATAATGGTAGCATAAGTTAAGGGTTAAGTTACAGATACTTTAAAAAAGAAGTGAAACAGTACAATATTTAGATTTCTTCTGGCAAAAATATCTAAACCAAAGAACTGAGCCTTGGGGTGTAATTATATTGCTGCCACAGAGATACATATTGATTGCTGCTGTTCATGCTGACTTGTTTAGAAGTTTTATTAAAATTTTGAACTACAATCAAAGATATGTTAAATGAAAAAGCACATAAGATTTAGGGGATATTGAAGAAATGGAAACATCCTGATTGTAAAGAAGTAGAAACAAAACTGCTTGCTTAAACACAGTGTTTCAAAGCGGAGATGACACACAAAGCTGCCCACCAGAATCCTCTGAGGACCATAATGACTACTGGTAATGTGTTTCCGGCAACTTAGTAGCAAGATCTGAGAAAGGTCCTAATTCCCCTTTCAGAAAGGCGTAGAGGGAGCCAAGTAAACACTTACATGATGGTTAAAGAGGGTAATATTACTCTAACAAAATAACAAGAAGAACAGCTATTCTGTGGGGGGCTAGAAGTCCCTACTGTGCAGATCCTTGCTTTCCGAAGTGGTTCATGACCTCCAGCAGCACCCTGCCTTCTTAAATAGCAGCAGCAGCTGCTCCATACAAATCCCAGATCCTCTATTTGTAGCAGCAGAGATGTCTCTAGGAGGGTGTTTATCAATGATGTCTTTCTTTTGTCATGTGACAGTACTAATTCAAATATAATAAAGCCCAGAAGGATCTCTCTTTTCTCAAAATGATGTCCTCAGTTACAAATCCTTAGCACAAATAACTGATATCTAAGAAATTGTCTCTTACATAATATTCACATTGTGCTTAATATAATTATTTCCTTATAAAGTGAAGATCTGATGGTATGTGAGCTAAGCATAGTGATTCTTTACACCAGCACTGACTATCTTTGTTTCACTTGCCAGTTTTCTTACTAGATCCCAAGGAACAGTTTCACACGCTCAACCTGAGTGTATAAAGACTCTTGGATGCTTTTTAGGCACTGTGGTCTCAACTTTGTATTCACTGAGCACTCAGAATGCACAGCCACATACAGTAAAAAAAGTTGGGTGGGCCGGGATAGCAGGAGCAGGCATCCTAGCAATATGAATTTATGTTTGCACAGCACTTTGCAGGCAAACTTCAGCTCACCTCATCTGAGCCATGTGTCGCCTTGGGTGTGCTCACACAGTCTCTGCCTAGCTCAAAGCACACCTAGAGCTCCAGCCCAGCATCTTGGAAATAGGGACAGCCCCAGACAGAGTTTCCTCACATCTTCCTGCAAAATACAGTACACGTCAACTCTAAGTGAATTCTAATTAAAACCTCGGTAAGAAATAAGGTTTTGTTAATGGTACAGCGTGTGCATTTACAGTGAAAGAGTAAAGAAGCTAAATTTTGAGGCAAGACAGGAGGCAAGAAGTAGATAAAATGACAGGGCAGCACAGTGGATCACTGTGATAACTATGATTATTGTAGCTTGTTATTATAGATTTTAATAGAGACACACAGCATGCTGTTTTCTTAGATCTCTTCTTTATAAGGCAGGAGGCAGTTGATTATGTGCCACATAACAGTGCCACATCCTTGTGTCAATCAGCAGCAGTACAGATTAAATCTGTGATTTCTGAATCATCATTGACATACCTCTCTTGCTCTTCGGTGCTAAAGATACAGCCTATCTGTATTAAGCTAATCTACATCATGATCTAGGCATCAAAGATTTAAGAGTGTGATTTACTTCTATACAATGTCCAGCTAATACCAGAGTGGGGCAGAATGCAACACTGTATGGATATTGGCCTAATATGCAAAGTAAAAGAGCATATGGTCTTTTCAAAAAGGCCATATAAGTGATCCTATAAATCATCTGAATAACAGGTTAAAACTAGTAAAATTTTCCTTCAAAAGTGACTGTTCTTTTTTTTTTTTCTTTTCTTTTCTTTTCTTTAGGGTTTTTCTGATAATAAGTCCTAAACTCTGATACCCATGGATGCTGCAGAGTTCCGCAAGAGAGGGAAGGAGATGGTGGACTATATTGCAGATTACCTGGAGAAGATAGATAAAAGACAGGTCTTCCCAGATGTGGAACCAGGATATCTAAGACCCCTCATTCCAGACTGCGCACCCCAGGATCCTGAGAGCTTTGAGGATGTCTTTAAAGACATTGAGAAGATCATTATGCCAGGGGTAAGAAAAATGGATCTGTAGTGTAATGTTCAATACCACATTTAGGTTTTCAAAGACTTTAAGGAAAGTGTGACTTCAAGGCTGTGCAGCTAGACCTTACAAACATAAGTACTCACACTGATTAGCTTTTAGAAGGCAAGAATCTGCTTTATATCCATAGTTAAATATGATCTAACACTTTACACAACTAATGTTTTCTGTTCTTGCTGGAAATAATCAAATCATTCTTTTGCTTCATGCGAGGCTTGCTTTTGGAAATAATCCCTTTTCCTCTCTTGAACTGGTTAAGGCAAAGCTTCATAACTTTCATTTTCATGTGATATTTTTGCTACTTGCAAAGCACAGTAAATATTTTATAAAATGGGATTTTTATTAGTCTGCTGTGCCTGAAGTGTTCCTTCAAGCTGGTCTTTAAATGTTAAAATTCTCTTAGGAGACTTCTTTTTATTACAGAGTTGGCTAGAAAGGATTCTTCCCAATACTTCTGCTGTTGACTTACTCTCCTAAATGTCAACTTCTTCTAGTACCTTTTAAGGCAGATGGCCACTACCTAAATATTAGTCCTTGGATAGATCAGTGTTGGACAGACAATGCAGAACAAAGTGTCTGGCATTTGTCCAGTTCTGAATATTTCTTGTTTTTCCACTCATGGTATACCTTTTTTCTTTTAAATATATTCTTGTCTCCTAAGGCCTCTAAGTAGCTTGAAGAGGACTGGTTTATTAGTAAATGTTAATGAGGAATCTCTCCTTTGGATCTCTGCAATAACCATTTTGGGTTGCTTCTCTGGATGTAGGTAGGTGATATGATTGCTATGTGACTGGACATGGAACCACTGCTCTGCAAATGTGTTTAGTCAGTGTACTATAATACCAATTCCTCTTCATTGACCAATGTAAATATTTTATATTTAATATGACTTTATCTTGTTTCCCTTGGAGCCAACCCTGCTGTCATTTCACAGGCAAAAGCTCCACTGAAGTCAATGGAAATCTCTCCACTCTTCTCAAAGACTTGTGGATGAAGTCTTAAATCCAACAGAATTAAATCAGTGCAGATTAGATAAGAGAATTATGTCCAACACATGCAAATATTTTCATTGCTGCTCATAGATATGATAGTCTTTTCTTTTTCATTGGAGGAAAATACTAACCAAATTTTTTTGTCTGTGAAGTAGAACAGAAAACACTTTGCTTTGAACACTTGAGAACATTCAATAAAATATCAAATTGAAAAATAAGAGATGAGTCATTTGAGAATAGAAAGTGAGACATTGAATTCCAATTATGTCATCAACATCTCCTGTTCCCTCTTTAACTAAATCAATTTTTTCTTGATATTTACATGCCCTGCAAATAAACTTACTTTTACAGTGATATATTCTGAAGAAGAAATATTCTATCCAAAACTTTCCTCTCGTGTGAAGTGTTAGTGTTTGTGACACACAGAGCACAAGTACATAAATCCCAGTTCTTACAGTAACTCTGATTCTGCCTGTGTTGTTTACACTAAATACTGAAGACTCACATGAGCACAGAATCACAAAGTCATAGTATAGTAGAGGTTGGATGGCACCTGTGGAGATCATTTAGTCCACCCCCATTGCTCAAAGCAGAGTCAGTTAGAGCAAGTTGCTCAGGACCCATGTCCAATTGGGTGTTGAATATCTCCAAGGATGAAGTCTTCACAATCTCTCTGTTGTCCGGTTCCAAAGTTTGACCATCCTCACAGTAAAAAAGCTTTTTCTTATGTTTAAGTGGAATTTTCTGTATTTCAATTTGTATACATTTCTTCTTGTCTTGTCACTGAATACCACTGAGAAGAACCTGGCTTCATCTTCTTTACATCCTCCCATGAGGTATTTATACACATCAACAAGGTACCCCCTGAGCTTTCTGCAGGCTGAACAATCCCAGCTCTCTCAGCCTCTCGTCATATGACAGATGCTCCAATTAATCATCTCAGTGGCCCTTCACTGGCATCACCCCAGTATGTCCAAGTCCTTCTAGTACTGGAGAACCCAGAACTGGACACAGCAGCATTCCAGGTGTGGCCTCACCAGTGCTGAGTAGAAGGGAAGGGTCACCTCTTTTGACCTGCTGGCAACAGTTTTCCTAACATGGCCCAGGATGCTGTTGGCCTTGTTTGCTGCAAGGGCACATTGCTGGCTTATGTTCAGCTTGTCCACCAGGACCCCCAGGTCCATTTCTGCAGAGCTGCTTTCCAGCCAGTCAATCCCTGCCCTGTACTGGTGCAGGGGGTTATTCCTCCTCAGGTACAGGATTTTGCATTTCTCTGCTGAACTTCATGAGATTCCTGTTGGCTCATTTCTGCAGCATGTTGAGGTCCCTTTGAATTGCAGCATGACCATACAGTGTATCAAACACTCCTCCCAGTTTTATATCATCGGCAAAACTGCTGAGGGTGCGCTATGTCCCATCATCCAGGTCATTAATGAAGATGTTAAACAGTACTGGCCACAGTATTGTTTCCTGGGGTACACCACTAGCCTCCAGATGGACTTCATGCCACTGATCACAACCCTATGAGTCTGGCAGTTAGCCAGTTTTCACTCCATTTCACTGTCCACTTATCTAGTAAACATGTTATGGGAGACAGTATTGAAAGTCTTAACAATATCCTGTGCTCTCCCCTTGTCCACCAAGCCAGTCATCTTGTAAAATGCTGTCAGGTTGCTTAGGCATGATTTCCCCTTCATAAATCTTTGCTGCCTAGTCCCAATCACCTTCTTGTCCTTAATATGTTTGGAAATAGCTTCAAGGTTCTGTCATCTTCTCTGGGATTGAGGTGAGGCCTGTAGTTTCCCAGATCCTCCTTCTAGCCCTTCTTGAAGGTAGAAGTGACATTTTCCAGTCCTCAAGAACATTCCCCAGTTGCCATAACCTTTCGAAGATATTTGAGAGTGGTCTCAATGACATCGTCTAGCTCGTGCAGCAGTTGTGAATGCACCCCATTAGGCTCCATGGACTCAAGTATGTCCAGCTTATTTAAATGTTTCCTAACCTAATCCTCCTCCAGGTGAGGTCTTCCTTGGTCAAGGCTTTTCCCATGAGTCTCAGGAGCCTGGGATTCCTGAAGGCAAATTTGCCAGTAAAGACTGAGGTGAAAAAGGCATTGAGCACCTCAGCCTTTTCCCTGTCCTTTGTCACCAAGTCCCCAACCCCATTCAGCAGCAGACCTACATTTTCCTTACTTTCCTTTTAATGCTGATGAACCTGCAGAAGCCTTTCTTGTTGCCCTTCACATCCCTCACCAGATTCAACTCTAGATGGCTTTGACTTTCCTAACCCTGTCCCTACATACTCAGACAGTGTCTTTATAGCCCTCCTCTCCTGGGACACCTGACCCTCCTTGCTTTTCTTATATGCTTCCCTCTTACATTTGAGCATTGTCAGGAGCTAATTGTTCATCTGTGAAGGCCTCCTGCCGCTCTTGCTGCACTTCCTGCATGTGGGGTGGATCATTTGTGAACTTGGAGGAGGTGTTCCTTGAAAATCAACCAGCTTTCCTGGACCACTCTTCTTTCCATGTCTGTTTCCCATGGGATTCTTCCAAGCAGGTCTCATAACAGGCCAAAGTCTGTTCTCCTGAAGCCCAGGGTTATGATCTGCTTTGTACCTTTCTTCCTGCTCTCATGATTCTGAACTCCACCATCTCATGGTCACTGCAGTCAAGGCTGCCCCTGACTTTTACATCCATGACCAGTTCCCACAGCGTGTCTCTCCTCATCAGTTCCTCCACAGTTCCCTGTGTTAGGAAACGATCATCAATGAACTCCAGAAACCTCCTGAACTGGTTGTGCCCTGCTGTGTTGTCTGTCTAGCAGATATCAGCTTGGCTGGAGTCCCCTGTGAGGACTATGAGCTGCGAACATGAGGTTTCTTCCAGCTGTTTGAATGCTGTACTCATGTACTTCTTCCCGATCAGGTGGTCTGTAGCAGACACCCACCCAAATGTTGCCCATCTTGGAATCTCCACCAGTCCTGACCCACAAGCTCTTGACTGGCTTATTGTCCATTCCTAGGCAGTGCCTAGGAGCATTCCTGCTGTTCCCTTGCATAAAGGATCACTGCCCTGCCTCACTTTCCTGGGCTGTCCTTCCTAAAGAGCCCGTCCTCATCTACTGCAGCACTTCAGTCATATGAGCTATCCCACCACATCTCTGTGATCCCAGTGAGATCACAGCCCTGTAACTGCACACAGCCTTCTAATTCCTCCTGTTTGTTCCCCGTGTGTCATGCCATAGCATACAGATGCCTCAGAGAGGCACCCACTTGTGCTGATTTCCCAGAAAAGATAGGAGAGCTTCCCCCCATAATGCTGTCCTCTCAGCACTTCCTTATTTATGTGCATACACTTGGGGCAGGTCTGCTTTAGTCCTATCTTGTTTTCAAGATCTCTCTTGTCTACATTACACTTCACCCCTCGCTTGCCACCTCAGTCCACCTTCCTCTCTTGATTGTGGATTTTCATCTCCTTCCCTGCATCATTCCCAGTGTAAAGCTCTCCTTACCAGGTTAGCCAGCCTGTCTGCAAAGCTATTTTTGCCCCAGTTGTTCAGGTGGGTCCTTCCTAGGAGTTGATCTTCAAAGAGGGTCCCACTGGTCTTAAAACCGAAATCCCTGTTGTCAACACCAGGGTCAACACTCAGATTGTTTGGGTGCTTCACTAGACACAGCAGGGCTCCCAGCCCCTCTGCAGCTAGGGCACTGAACCTATTCTGTAGTTGCAGATCTGCAGGTGGAGCAGAAGCCTTCCTCCTGGTGCCAGCAGTTGCAAGCTTCTACCCATCACCATCGTGGAACTCCATTTTCCAAGCCAATAAGCAGAGACTCTGAATGCCCCTCCTTTGGTACGTTTTGGGGTTCAGGCTCTTGTATCTGAGATGCCTTGTGTTATGTCTCAAGGAAGATCCACTCAATCTCTTTTTTGTCATCTCTGATACTGCACAATCTGCTGACCTCCTCATGCTGTGTAAAATACAGACCCTCCACCAGTGTATACCTCCTGCAGGCTAGAAGACCATCTCCCACTGCCCCGACCTTGGCAAGAGGCCCCATCATCCCTGCAATCCCAGGCCTGCAGAGCTGCGTACTTCCTAGGGAGCTTAGTCTGGATTGAGACCTGTGATGTGCCAGGGGTAGTTGTTCCAGTTGCTGCTGGGGACTGTGCCCTGTGGAGCAACACCACCACCGCAGAGCCCACGTACGCTAACCTTAGCAGGGTTTCTGGACCTCTTCTGTGCACAGTGCTGCACAAACTGCTGCAACTGTTGGCTGCCTCTGTTAGCTGTGCTCACAGAAACTGAAGTGTGAAAATGATGGTGCTGTACAAACATGTGGAGGCAGGGAGTATAGTAAGAGCTTAGCATAGGAAGACTTGGTCACATTTGGTTTAGAGGCCTTTAAAATTATTAGTAATTCATTTTAGGGGCTTTCGAAATTGGCTATAGGGACAATCTGCCCCCATTATATTTTCCCTTAATCTTCCCATCTTTTTCCTGACAAGAATAACATTCATAAGTACATCTAGTGTTTTTCAGCTATAGTGCTTTTCCAGTGTTTCACCCTGGAATGTCTTATCTCTGTTTTATAAATGAGGAACTGGGCTTTTTCAGAGAGAATAAGTAATATGACAGAGGTCGTAAAACCTTGTTTTGCCCATAAGCTATCAGTGGCCCATAAGTGATTCTTGCTTCCTTCATGTTGACATCTTTACTGTGTTAGTTGCATTCAGATATTTGGTACTTACTGGATGATTGAAAATGTAAAAATGGTGTTCCTTCAGAGGAGCAAGGATCAATTAATTGTGTAAAGCAATAATGCAGTATCTATCGCTGTCTTTACCCTATAGGAGAACAAGCATTCGTGAGTGGTAAAACTTTATGGAGATTTCTTGTGAAATTGGATGTAGACCTTCAAAGGGCAGTCCCCTATATGATAATGACCATAATGGTGCTAAGTTCCTAATATGTAACACAAGGACTGAGGGGAACCACTGCTGAACTTTGATCTCCACAGCAGGAAGCCAAGGTGGAAAGGATCTGCATATAAAAATATCAGTGGGAGTCACCTTTCTCTCTCAGACTTGCTTTGTTCTCTTGAAATATATCTCCCCTTTTTTTAGAGCCAAAAATGATCAAGTTTAGTTATAACTGCAAAGAGCAGTACTGAAGATTGGATCTATTAATCTACGAACTTTCAGCTGAAGTACGTATCCTTAGTGTGTGGTAAAGGAAGACTCTTAGACTAAGCAAGCCACAGAAAGAAAGACATCCTTAGAAGAAATCTGGGAAATAAAATGTCTCTGAGAAGGATTAGAGTGGTAATTACTGAACCCAAGACACTTGTGTACCACTGTTTATCAGCAGAGGGCTGAAAAAACAAACATCAATTATGTCACACTCTTTGCAATATTTGACTAAGTGTGTCTGTTCCAACGTGGTGAAAGAAATGAATTTTACAGCTGCTTCAAGAGAAGGGGGAAGGGGAGGCAGGAGGAAGAACCGCAGCTGCACTTGCCCTAGGGCTTTTGGCTTTTTCTCTTTGTGTGAGTGGTGCAACTGGAATCTGCTGTGTTTTATCAAACAAATGGCTCCCAGCAAGTAGGCAGTTTAACTTGATTAACCCAAGATAAATGTCACAAGTCTTACAGATCACAGAGGATTAGAGTTGGGGAGATGAACAGTGGCAGTCCTGGCTCATTATGGACGTCAGTGGACATCTGTGTGTGTGGGTCCTATCAGGGACTGCTGTTTACTGGGTATTTTTTTATCTGTTTATCATTTTCCTGTGAAGAACCAAGTGCCATCCTATCTTTTTCTGATTTGTAAAGGAAGGTGTTTGCCACAAGTGCTTTAAAACTTTGTGTACTGGGTTTGTGTGGTAGAGTTTTGGTAGTGGGTTAGGGGCCACAGGGCCGGCTCCTGTGAGGAGCTTCTAGAAGCTTCCCCAGCTCCAGGTGAGACCCGCCACTGGCCCAGGCCAACCCAATCAGTGAGAGTGGTAACACCTGTGGGAGAGCAGATTTAAGAAGGGGAACCCCCGGGGAGTGGGATGTGAGAGGACCCTCTCTGCAGGTGCTGAGGTCAGTGAGGGAGGAGGAAGAATGTGGGAGGAAGGGATGCCCCCACAGCCTGTGGTGGGCAGGCTGTGCCCCCCAGCCCATGGAGGGGAGTGGGGAGGAGCCCACGCTGGAGCGGGGGATGCCCCCCAAGATGGCTGGGACTCCATGGGAAAGCCTGTGCTGGAGCAGTCTGTGCCTGAAGGACTGCAGCCCGTGGGAAGGACCCATGCTGGAGAATTTCGTGGAGAACTGTCTCCTGTGGGAGGAACCCCACGGTGGAGCAGGGGATGAGTGAGGAGGAGTCCTCCTCCCCCTGAGGAGGAAGGAGCGGCAGAGACAAGGGGTGGTGAGCTGACCCCAGCCCCCGTCCCCTGTTCCCCTGTGCCACTGGGTGAGAGGAGGTAGAGAACACTGGGAGTGGAGTTGTGCCTGGGAACGAGGGAGGGGTGGGCGGAAGGTGTTTTAAGATTTGGCTTTACTTCTCATTATCCTGTTTTGATTTGATTAGTAGTAAATTAAATTGATTTTGTTTCTTCCCCAAGTTGAGCTTGTCTTTTGCCCATGACCTTAAGTGGGGAGCGATCCCTCCCAGTCCTTATCTTGATCCACAAGCCTTTCTTTGTATTTTCTCCTCATCCTGCTGGGGCAAGGGGGGAGTGCGGGAGCCAGTGGCTGTGTGGTGCTTTGTTACCGGCTGGGCTGAAACCATGACACTTTGTTACAGCAAAGAAAGAGATCCTGACCAGATATGAGATACAGCAAAAAATGTTCACAGTGGCTTGTGTTTGGATACCTGATTTGAGCAGGTTTGGACCTAGTGACCAGTAGAAGTGAAATCTTGAACATACTAGATACAGGGCTAGTTTAGACAGTGGAAAATTGTAGTGGATAGGAGCTGTTTTCATATGAAAGAGATAGGGCTATCTGAAATATTATATATGGTATACTACAGCAGAGAAAGTAATATCTGATTCATTGTGCACAAGAGTTAAGACAGTTTCCCCTTAGCATGGAGCATGTTCCTGAAAGAAGAGCTAGTTCTTGGCGTGAAGAAGGTTAGAAGAGGAAATAAAGGGATATTCGCAGCATGCAGAACAGTGTGGTACAGTGATCCCCAATTTAGCTCCAGAACCAGAAACCTTATCACAGGCTGGGAGAGAGGGGAGTGTGAAAGGTAAAATTCATCAGAGGTGGGAATGTGGAATGGAACAGAACAGTAAGGAAACACTGAGCTCGGGCAAGAGAGAATGTATGCTCTTACCATCCTCCACTTGTAACAGAAGAACTCTAGTATTGAAAGAAAGAAAACAAAAGAGCATAAGAAAAGGCTAGGCTTCAATAACTCAGCAGCCTCTGGACTTCCAGCCAAGGAAAGATATTATATGCTTTCTGCTGAATTTTTGCTTATAGTCCATCTAATCCTCTAGAAGCACTTTTTTTTCTAAAATTTGCATTTTATCTTGAATGTGAAAGTTGTTTTTGCCAAACGTATTGTATCACATTATTTCCACTGAACACTGCAGTGTGGCAGTACATTTCCTGTTTTCAAATTTTATTAGACTGGAGTCGTGGAGCACTATCAAGTATCTCACAGATCCTTAAAACTGCTTAAATGTTGCATAAGATAGTTCTAAATATTGCTGCTGCAAGACAATTGACTACAATTTGTGCAGTTACTGTGTTGTTCTCTCATATTAGTACATATAAAGTGGAATTGTACATAAATCACAACTTGTTAGTGGGAGATGATAGTTTTATTTTCCACAGAAGGTATTGGATACTGGAATGGATTGTTTCACTTTGTGGTGAGGAGCTGTTTGGCCAGATTCAGTGCCTGAATTTTAGCAAATAACTCCAGAGTGTGGGCAAGAGAGTTCTGTGGACCTCTGCTGCACTGAAGACACTCTTGCTAAGTCAGTCACATGATAGAGACGAAAGAACAAAATACTGGAGAGTCCCTGAAAGCAGAGGCTCAAGGACAGTGCCCTGCATAGAAACCTGTGCTGCCACTGCCCATGCAAGTCTTGTCTTCTAGGCAGACAAATGGAGAACTCTGATTTTAGATCTGTTGGGAGGTGGGGGCAAGGACTAATTTACTTCTAATTTGAGTAAAAGACATAAAAAAATTGAGACAAAGAAAAAGGTAAGCTTTTCTAAAAAATGGGATCCTACGTTACTGCCAGGTAGTCCAGAACTGTTGACTGGTCCCAATCTTTTCTGATTTTGTGACAATTTGTTTCTGCTCCCTGCATTAGTTAAAAATTACTGTTTTTCCCTTAATACAGGTGACTCACTGGCACAGTCCATACTTTTTTGCCTACTTCCCTGCAGCCTCTTCCTTCCCAGCTCTTCTTGCAGATATGTTGTGTGGTGGAATAGGATGTGTGGGCTTCTCTTGGGTAAGTTTACTGGGGTATGTACCACTATGTGGAAATAGTACTTCACCTTGCCAAGATTTTAAGCATTTCAGTAACAATCTTCAATGAAATTATTGATTAATGGCAGTGAAGTCACAGGACTATTTTTATAGGTACATTTCCTTGACTAAATAGGTGTTTTCACATAGACACCCTGAATGATTCCAGGAATAAAAGGCTATTTCCTCTTAGAATTTTTGCCCTGGAAAAATGACCAGCATTTAGGATTAGTGTTAGCAGTGCTAACTTACTGGTAATTCATTAAGTAGTATGACTGTTGCCTGGTGTTGTTACTTCTCTTATCATCTGGATGAATGGAAAATTTTCCACATTCATATGAGATAGGCTCTTCTCAAAAGAGATTGGTACTTGATGTTGGAAAAAAAAAATGCAAGATGCAAATCCTAGCTTTAACATTTGATAGTCATGATTCTATGTGAGGCCCAGTTTGAAATTTTTTTAGTAAGTATTAGAAACAACATGCACAAAATGGTCTTCAGGTCCCTAATGTAGCTGTTAAAGTTGGCTAGTCTCTTCCTCTGTAATCAAAAGACAGAGAGAGAAAGAGTTATTCTTGCTCTGGTAGATCCCATTTCTCTTCATGGTCTAGTGAGGTTATTCCCTCTGTTCTATTTTTCAACACAGGCAGCAAGTCCAGCTTGCACAGAGCTGGAGACTGTCATGCTGGATTGGCTAGGGAAGATGATTAATTTGCCTGAAGAGTTTTTAGCTGGCAAGGATGGCCAAGGTGGAGGAGTCATTCAGGTAAGAGGGGACATAAAAAAAAATACAGGATGAGTTTGTGGGCTTTATAATTTTGTAAAACCTTCATACCAAAACATTAATAAAAGAAAGATATATTTTTCTTCTGCCACATGGGTTCCTTTCAGATTTTCAGAAAGACTGATGCTCTGTGAGAATGTCCATAGGTTAGTAGGATCATCCACAAAAGTAATGATTTTGTTTTCAGAGCAGCTGAATTCTGAAACACTCTTGTCTGTGAAGAATTGCTAGTAGTTCAACATAACAGCACAATTTGGGCTTAAAATTAAAATTATAATGTTGAAAAGTCATGTAGGATGGAAACTTTAATTTGTTGATCAAGTGAAGTGAGCTCATGCTTACCAACAATGTGCAGCAATGTTTTGTGGCTGAAAACAGAAAAAAGCCTTCTCAAATAGAAATATATCTGAGGATTTTGAGCAGAGGACTGTCCTGGTTTCAGCTGGAATAGTTAATTGTCTTCCTAGTAGCTGATACAGCATTATGTTTTGAGTTTGGTATAAGAGGAATGTTGATAACACACTGATGGTTTCAGTTGTTGCTAAGTAGTGTTTATACCAAGTCAAGGATTTTTCAGCTTCTCGTGCCCAGCCAGCAAGAAGGCTGGAGGGGCACAAGGAGTTGGGAGGGGACACAGCCAGGGCAGCTGACCCAAACTGGCCAAAGGGGTATTCCATACCATGTGATGTCATGCCCAGTATAGAAACTGGGGGCAGTTGGCCTTGGGGGGTGGCTTGGGAACTAACTGGACATCAGTTGGCAATTGGTGAGCAATGGCATTGTGCATCGCTTGTTTTGTATATTACAATTCTTTTATTGTTATTGTAATTTTATTATTATTATCATTATTAGTTTCTTCCTTTCTGTCCTTCCTTTCCTGACAAGGATCATGAAAGGTGGTTACAAAGGCTTCCATGAAGTCCACCTTATACATGTGCAAATGTTTACTTCAGTCAGTTTCCAAAACAGCTTTCCTTTTTTTCAGAAAAAAGTGTCAGAGATCAAGCAATGGATAAGAACATAGGAGACAATCTTCTATAAGTAGAAAAAACAGATTATAGTAGAAAGTCTATCAGTCTTTGTCAAAGAAATTGAAATTATTTTAAGAAGTTCCCCTTATATAACAAAATGAAATATTGGAATAGTATAATAAAATGAAGACCTGCTTAAAATTTGAACCTAAATGGTTCTATCAGTAGATAACACAATTTTTAGACTACACTGCAGTATCCAAACCAGAACAAAACTCCAAACTTTGTTGACTTAATGAAATGATGTTGCTTAATGAAAGCCTACAATATCTGAACAGAGTATCTGTATGATAGTGAATATATAATCAACGGGCAAACTTGCATGCATAAGAAAGCTATACTGTTTGCCAGCCATGGCTCCACTAGTGCATGGTCTTTCTGCAAATGCAGACTCTGGTCACAACTATTAATCTAACTAAAATAGATCTCTACTATGGAAAAGACTGAATTTTAAATAATTGTTCTGTGCTCCTTTAATCTCTGGCCCTGGTCATTGGAGGCCAGGGCACAATCCATTTTATTCTAAGGTAGGCTTCTAAAATACATCTGAATTACATGCTAGAAGTGGGAGCTGCTTTGATGTCAGGTGCAAATGCCTACTGCATATTCCAATGAATTCTTCCCAACATCTTCCCAGGCAAGTATGAATTTAACCCAACTGCTATGATTCTCCTAGGCAGAGCTGTACCTACACCAGTGTATTTCCTGTATAACTCTTTACTCATCTGCTTGCTCTGTTAGGATCTTTATTATTATGACTACTAGGGAGGGGGTTATGTTCAAGAAATCAAGGTTCTGTCACGTGTCTCAGCAGTACTTATTTTGTACCAGTGAAAGCAAGCAATTATGCCTGATGGTTATCAGCAGGAAATACTGCCCTTCCAGGCTGACAATGCTGGATTGCCCATAATTTTAATCAGAAACCAGTCAGTTTCAGGAATCGAAAGTGGGCTCCGTGTTCCTGCTTACGATGAAGTAATTTGTGCTGCAGATCTTTTCTTACTCTTGAAACAATAATGATACAAATAAGAGAGCATGAGGCAAAGACAACATAAGTGTGTGAAAGTGCCAGTCATTGTCTTGGTAAATACCAAGTAATTATTGTGGTATTGGGTAAAACTGAGCCTGTGAAAATAGGCTCTTAATTACATTTGAAGGTCTATGTCAATATGAAGCACTTCTGTTGTGTGCAGGATGACACGTGAAAATGGCAAAAGATGAAAGAAAATTTCAGTTCAGAGCTCTGGTGGACATGAACATCAGCTCTTGCTGATATTTCTTCCGCCTCTTGAGCCTGCTTGCCATGGCAACCTTTATTTGCTTGCGGTAAAAGGAAAGGTATCATCATCCTTCACTTAATGCAGAATACAGCATTCAAGAGGAGAAAAAACCAGCTTTTAAAATAAGTGGGAAAGCAACTTTCTTCCTGAAGCTTGTATCCTGCTGTTCATTCTAGACAAACTGCTGAAAAGTATAGCTACTTTGAATTTTAAAGAGCTTTCTTGCTCTGAAAAGAAGAAGTATTTTAAGGGTGAAACAAAATGAGACTCAGCCTATCTTTGACCTGGTAAGGAACACTGCTGATTTATCTTTCTTGTCAGTTAGCTGAGTAGTTCAAGAACCAAGGGGGTTTTGCCTCAAAAATATTTAGTCCAAGACTGGTGCCAAGTGAATAGAAGAGCATTACAAATCAGGTTCTGCAAACTCTGTAAGCTTCAGTGTAAAAAAGGTGACTTATGAAAACTGAGGCAAGGTGAAAAAGCCTGTGCCTATCATGAGACATCCAAAATCATTTCCAAGTTGCTGGATTCAGGTACCTTTAGGCTATGACCCAGGTGTATATCAGGAGTAAAGATTCAGCTGGACAACAGGCCTTTCCTTTTCATCCTTGTTTCTGTGCAAGGAAATTCATATAAGAACTGTTGTATATGCTGAATATGCACCAGCCTGGATGAACAGCCAGGAATGCTAGGACATCTTGTAGCATTCCTCAGAAGGCTGAGGCTATTCTTGAGCCCACGTCATTTGTTTGCCCAGCCAGGCTGTCTCCAGAATAGTGGGGGCTTAAATTTCCAGATCTCAAATTAGTGTCTTAACCTTTGGAATTTCCTACAGCCATTTTCTTTTATACATTTGTGCACATTTCTTTAATATGCATATTTCTCACATGTCTTGGAAAGACACTAATGGTTTTATAGGGCCTTCTCATTACAGAAAAAAAGAAGAAAAAAAAAAACCATTTTCTCCACATATATTTGAAAGATTTTCGTGTATCCCCTTAATACTAATTATTACTTTTATTAAAATATATATATTTATTTCCCACATATTAAATGCAAGGGTGGCAGAGCTAACTTTACTGTGAAGAACCCAGGTTTAGAAAGGTTGTTTTCAGTGACTTGCCTGATGCGAGATGGACTAAGGTCTTGCACACAGGCTTTATGTTGCCCAACTTCATTGTAAGGACATACAACTTACCTGAAAAACTGTGTGAGCATCACAATAAGTTGCAGTGGTTTGCACAAATTAAAAGTATTCTTGCCTGCTGAATTGCTGGAAAGGATATTTCAGGCAACATTGTCTGATAGTGTATGCCCATTATGCAGGTCTTCTGATTATGCAGTGTTCTTTAGAAAATTATATACTGCTTGTAAAAAAAAAAGGAAGAAAATCAGCTTCCCAGAAAATAGGTGATGTTCTTGACTAAAACATTTCTCATCTGCTGGACATCCAGGACCCAAGTCATTATATTCTAGCTCACAGGACTGTCAGGAAGCATAGGTATTTTATTTCATTGTTACTTAGATAACATTGTGCTAAGCATGGCAGAAATAGTTTTGCTAAGAAAGACATGGTGACAGAAGTTTCTCATCAGGAAACTTACACTGTGTGAAATTCATCTCACATTTTGTCAGATAAAGTTGAACATAGAAGAAGGTACCTTTAGAGGAACCATTTATTTCAGTCCAGAATATTTGCCTAAAATAGATGGAATTCTTGCTTTCTGGATGGGCTTACCTCTCTCCACAGAATACTAAGGGACCCTAAACAATTATTTTATCTCAGATATTTAACTTTTTAGACAAAGTAAGATGAATCAGATCTTGAAAGTTCTTTATGTGTAAGATGAAGATAATTGTGTGCACGCTCTTGGCATCAGGAATTTTGAGAGCTATGGACAGGCATGATTTCTTGGTGTTCAGATATTCTGATTAATATTCTGAATTATGGTCTGGCTACAGACCATATGTAGAATAAGATTAAACGGGGAGATTGCCAAATTGTGTTTTCTGTAATTAATGGACAGAATTTCCTTCACCACTTGCTTCTACATGGAAGTTCTACCTTACTTGACCCAAGAGGGATATTTGTTTTCCCATACCGTTCTGTATGTATGTATCTGTAGTATTTCCCTCAGTTGCCGTAATGCTGTATGCAGCAGCAGCAGCTATAAGAAATGCACAAAACTGTCTCCAGCTCATCTTTGTGCTCTGAGCCAGACCCTGGGGTCTACATTCGTCAAATCCCACACCACCAGAAAGGCAGATAAAATACATTCATCGTGGCAATACATTTAGTAAATATTTAGGGACTGTCCTTTTTCCTGCTTACTCGGTTCATGAGGCTCTTGAATTTCAGCTGGACTGAGTTCACTCACTGTTGAGATGTTGACATGTAGAAGGCAGCTTTGTCTCGTATAAATAGCGCAGCTAACTTCAGTATTAGGAGAAAGTCTGAATTCACTGGGATCATTCTCATGTATGAAATCTGTAGGATCAGGCCCACCTCCAGTCTTACTTCTTCAATAAGACTTCCTAAATATTTAAACATTTGTTGTCATTAGTAAGTATACAGAGGTCGTCAACAAAGGGAGGATAGAATTTTGGTACATGATAAGAAACATCACTCCAAAATTAGCTTGTTGACACTGGGGATATTTCTGAGACATACTTATTAATATAAGCAACTATTCTTTGGACTGTTATGTGCTTGGCAGGGGAATATTTGTGTGACAATTGTTCAACTTTGAAAGTACCTAAAAACTCGATCTTGTGAATGGACACCCAAACCCACTGAAATTTATGAACATGGTTACAAACTGTTACTTATAGCTTAAAAGAGCAGTTTAGAGCATGTTTGACCTGCCTGTTCTAGAGGAAAACCATAAAAAGAATTTGTGGGAACTTGTATTCTCTTGTGAAATTTATGGAACAATTGATACAAAAAATTCCCCTCTTTGTTGTCACAGAGTATCCAAAAGGCAATTTAAACTCATGTTTTGTGAATCAAAGTGCCATTTAAAAATAGTGTGTGACTGTTCCTTTCATCTCAGTGTTTTTGAAGAAGAAAACATACGTAACTAATACTTTGAAATGGAGTTAGCTATTTTGAATCATAACTTTTTTGCTTTTTCAGTGTTTTTTTTTCTTTTAGCCACAATAATTGACTTGCCCAGGGTAACTCTAAATGTTAAATAAGCGTTATAATTATGCATGTTGCTTGATAGGAGAGTTGACAGATTCTGATGAAAGTTAAATGTGTGGAAATATGGAGTAACAGAAATCAACAGTTACTCTGCCATTGTTACTGGTTAACAAACGATTGGTGCCTGGTTTGAGATCCTTTTCACATATGTTTAAGTCTATGAGTCCAGCTTTCTAGCATTGATTGCAAGGCTGGTGCCTAAACTGAACAAGCATAGAGATTAAAGAGAGCAGACAGGAAGGAGGAGACCAAGATCAAATAGATTCCTCCCTTGCTGTCACACATATTCTTAAAAAGCAGGAGATTGCGCAGTTTCTCATATGCAGTTTCTGTTAATAACTTTGCAGATTCATATGGAAGAAAATGTTGCTTTTCTTTTTCTGGAATGTCCTTCTTTTGAACCTTCCTTCAATTTGTCCCACAGGGAAGTGCAAGCGAGGCCACCCTGATTTCACTGCTTGCTGCAAGAACAAAAACTATCAGATGGTTGCAATCAGAAAAGCCTGAGCTAACAGAAGCAGACATCATGAGCAGGCTGGTGGCCTATGCTTCCGATCAGGTGAGTACCTCTCAAAAACATGGAAACATGGGGTCTATACTTAACATTCAGACATCTTAATAGGTAGGTGAATTACATAGTCACCAATCCACACAGTTTCTATTTGGTTTTGCTTGTTTAAATCTTATTGTACATCGTAAGTGGGCTGGTATCTCATGTGAGCTACCATAATACAAAGAATAAATATCCAGAGGTCAGTGTTACATAAATATTACTTCTTTACAAAAAGAGCTCATTTGAAGTAAATAAGGATACTTGAGTAAGGTGTTAATTTCAGTTGTGTTGAGTAAGTCTAGACCATCTTTTGTTACATCTAGGCTTGTGTGTCCATGTGTGCACACATTATTTTCCTCCTATGTACACGTGCACAAACAAACACGCATACATCCTCCCCCTGTATGCATGCATGGGTGCAGGTGCATGCACACAGACAAACCTAGTGCATGAATATAAAGCAAATTGGTCATAGTACTTGAAGAAGCCCAAACATTTTTTCTTTTTTTTTTAAAGAAAAAAAACTCCTAAGATCTCCATGTATCAATCCAGCTAAGAAATCTTACAAGAAAACAGAAAATGTAATCCTTGATTTCTGACTGAGTGGTATTTAGCAGACTGAGTTAGGCTAAATTCTCAGCAGGCCAGGACCATGAGAGGCTTTTACTGTTAATGAAAGCAAATTTTAGTCTTGTCAGTTCTGCTGCTCCTACCTTTCTGACACACTAATCCTACTGAAGGGCCAAGCAATGTTGTTTCTCTCAGTAGCTGTGACATTTTCTTATCTACATGTCAATGAGATAGAAGAAACTTCCTTGGTACTTGATGTTTAGTTTAAAGTAATATCTGATTATGCAGAATAAAATGGCCAGGTTTCAGGCTTACCTTGATTTACTACTAAGTTTATGTTAAAAATCACTGGAGAACAAGTTAAAAGTACACTTGCTCTTTGCTGGTGGGAAGAGGGACTACACTGCTAGGGTGAGAAGAGTCAGGACAAGAAAATATGAGGAAAGATAAGCTGTTTTCAGAAGGCACAGAGGATGTTTGTCCTTTTTTTCTGGGACCCGAAGGTCTGTATTGTGCAGACGGCCAGTCCCAGAGCTCAAACTCTGACCCAGTGATGCACAAAACCTTTTACTTGTTTTCATTTTTTGTCCCATGTAAGTGGCTGACCTGAAATGAGGACTGACAGGCCTTCCTGCCTACTGAAGGTCAGAGGATCTTATGTTTACAGAAGGATTTGCCTTAAGATATTGCTGACCTTTCAAAGCAGATTGTTGCAGAGCTCACCGGTCCTTCTGCATTAAGAACAGACCTGCATGACTCATAGGCAGTAATCCACAAAAGAAAGTAAACCAAAGCCATTCTGTGGAAGAGAAAACCATGCACTGACAGAGAGCAACGCTGCAAGAATGCATTAGGAGGGAGGTAAAAAGCTGCCTCTGGACACTCAAAGCAGAACGCTGAACTCGGATCTCATGTATCTTGGGAGATCATTTTAGCTTCTAGGCATTTGGGGAAAATCTTTATCGCATCGAAATAATTTTGCTTTGTGTAAGTGAGTACAGAACAGGACTGGCAACAAATCTTTCCCCAATAACTACTTGGAGGGTTGGAGAAAACAAATGAGGATGCCTGTCTGTTTTAGTGCCTGGGCTATCCTGGCTGAGGCTCCTCTTGCAAGGGATACTGAATGTGAGACCTCGGAGCTGAGAGGAGCATCCAGCTACCCCAGACAGTAGACACCTGACCAGGATTGGGACCAGGACAGAGGTCAGGGTAGTTTTTTGATATTCTCAAATTTTCTCAGGCCATTTTCTTCATCAGCCTTTTTTTGCCATGTTTATTCAGCTACCTTAAGCAGCTGCCCATTCATTTCATTGATTTCTGCTTGGTTCCTTGCTCTCCTCGAGGATGGTGGGAGATTCCCAAGTACTTTGCTGAGGACTAGGACTTCCATGGAGCAGCAGGTTACTAAAGATTTGTTATAATATTTGTTATAATGCAATTTTGGAGGCTTGAGGAAGCAGTTCAGAGGTTCTGACTGGCTAACAACCTTAGTGTGTTATTATAGTTTGCTTATTTACAATTCTTGCATGAATCAGCTATAAAATACCTCTTCCTATTGTACACTTGAATGAAGTATGGTATTGCTATGGTACACACATTGTTTTCCACTTCAAAAAGTTATATTTCAAGTCTAGACTTCCAAATTTTCTCAAGTTGGTGCTGAATTAGTTTACCAAAATGGTTTACCAAGAGGCACTGATGAGATACAAGTTAATAGTAAATCTGCCTTTAAAACATGTCGTTCCAGGGATACGTGAAGTCGAAAGGCAAAAACTTTATCTTCATCTGGTCTTGGTCAACCTATGTTTTGGCTTAATCTTCTCCATGATTATATGCTAAATTAGAATAGAATTAGTAAGTGCTCTTGTAGGCACTAGCAAGAACCAACAAGATGAGTAGGATGGAGATTATGAATGAGAATAGTCACAATATGAAAAGGTGAGGAATTTTTCTCTTTCAAATTAAGGACAATTAATGAAATTGTAGAAGGTGGAAGGTAAAATAGCTTTTTTTGGTTTTAGTTATGCTCTAAAGGAGAGTATTTTGTGGCTAAGCATACCTTTTACTGTTAATAGGTTATTATTGTATCATACGTCACAAATTTATAGGAATTTCTTAATGGTATCTTTTGTTTTTATTTACTGAGATGTGCTTTTAGGTTCTAAAAATATTATTTAAGGGGAATGCAAGTAAAGTGGGTTATAAATAAAATAACATATTGGGAATGATCCTTAATTGCCTAACAAAATGAATGAATGATTGAACCACAATTTAGTCAGTAGGTAATCTAAAAAAATGGTCATGTAAGAAAATATCTCAGTCTATACCATATCATGACGTATATTTTTTTTAGAGTTCAGCAAAGCTGTGCACCTTTAAAATATGCTAATCAGCAACCGAATCATTATTAGGCAAGCTGATTATCTACATGTCTTTTGGTTGATTTAGAGCCAAATCCTGAAGCTCTTAATCAATCCTACCTAACTGTGATCACGTTAATTAAAGCTCTCACTAAGGTTAATTGAACTCTTGTCAGAATGATGCCATGGCAATGGTCTCAAGAATACTTCAGGGTTTCTATTACTGTATTTTTGTGTGTGTGTATGTATATATATGAATGTGTGTCCGTCTGTATGAAAGAGGGAGAGGTATGTATCAGTTACATACCAGCAACAGTCCCAGGATCTCAAGTATTGCTTTACTTGAAAGAAATGAATTTTTTTCTTTTTAAATTCAAATGAACTTCTTACATTCCAATAAAAGGTATCTGTCTTAAAACTTGCTTATTTCCTTGTAGGCTCATTCATCAGTGGAAAGGGCTGCGTTAATTGGTGCTGTGAAGATTAAAAAAGTTCCTTCAGGTGATACATTTAGTGTTTGTGGTTCAGCCCTGAAGAAAGTTTTGGATGAAGACAAAGCTTCTGGTCTTATCCCATTCTTTGTGAGTACTGGATTTTAATTAATCAGTGGATTTATAGCTTCTGATAAGCTATTTTTGACATGAATAGATGATCTCATCCCTAACAGAGGGATTGATAGGCAGCCTAGCTAGAATACTAGGACAGGTTCCATGAATGTTCTTCACATAGCTTTCTGTGCAGGAGGAGCAACTAATTTGAGCAGCTGGTTGCACTTCTCAGCAAAAATAATGTTTTAAAAGGACTTAAAGTTATATTAGACAGTTGAATAAGTGGAGGTGAATTTTGTAGTTGCAGGTAATCCTGCAGTGTTGTAATCTCCTAACACTTGAATTCTGAAATGCCTCTTTTACAAAGGTATACCTTTATTTTTCAGGTTCTAACTTACATGTAAAACAAGTTTAAAGGCAATAAATTAAATGATGGTGTCAAACTTAAGTATTTTCAAAAACCACTAGTTTCCACTCCTCACTATTTCAGCAAATAAATTAACTTCTGTAATACACCCCAAATAATCATCAAGATCAGATATTGTCAGACAGGTATTTGTGAGTATATGACTTGTCTCTATGAGGTGAGCTATAGGGAATCTGGCTGTGGAAGCTTTAGGTGGCATCATTTCTTGTTATCTGCCCACTTTCTTTTCCAGTGATTCCTGCTTCCACAGCAGTCTAGCAAAAACAAATGTGTTTATATCTCAGTAGCTAAAGCTCATGCTCCCCCAGTTTTTGACACAGAACAGTGTTAGATTGGATACAATTCTGAAGTTTGGTTCTACTATGATAAGCACCTTATTGAAAAGAATATTCGCTTATTCATCAGATCTGCTCCTGCTGTCAGTTCCGAACACCATCTTATTATTTCAAGTTAAAACAAGATATTACCATTTGTTTATTTCATGGAGTAAGTAACCTCTGTTATGTTTTTGTACATCATCAACAAAATGTTTTGCTCATTTCCAAGCATTATGCCCTACAAAACTTGCTATAGACCATGGGATGTATCTATTAAAGGATATAATATGCTACCAAGAACATGTTTTTACTGGCCTGCACTGAAGAAAAATTGGAAGGGAAAAAAAAATATTTTAGAAACCAAGAACTTCAGAAATGGGATTTTTTTAAGACAGTTAAAAATGTCATGATTTTTTTTCAGAAAAGTCATGTCTGACTTGCCAGTTAATTCTTTTCTTTCATGTGTTAACATTTTGAAAAGGGCTAATGTGACTTGAAATTTCTGTGAACTGTTTTCAGAAGAATTAACAGATTAAGCTTGCTTATAGTCATGGATAAGTGCCAAATGGGACAAAGAATCTTCAATTTCACCAAGCTCTTTTGAAAATGTAATCTTTTTACTCTTCCTGTTATTAACCTTTAGTGTCTGTTTTTATGCAGTATGAGGATGACTAGGGTGAAAAGCATTTTTCATATGTATAGAATGCTGCTAATTTCTAGCCTGCCTAGAACTAGTGAGTCTTCGGAATGACCAAACACATCCCATCAATTGCTTTCCAATATAAGAAGACTATAACTGAGAAACAAAGCATCTCTAGGGCTTCCAAAATGAACTTTCTTCTGTGGGCAGCACCTATTGAAGTGGAGATGTGCCATAAGGCATGTTTTATTTCTCTGTTACATGGTACCAGCTCATAAGATCTTATATAGGATCCTACTTGTTTGTCTCACTGTTAATTTTAAACAGTTACAAGTACAGCGCTATATCACATCTCTGTGCACTAACTACAAAGTTAATGTGTTTTTTCCTCACCTTTTGTCTATTAACAAAAAATTGCAACTTGCCCCTGATAAATATTCATTCCTTATTAATTTTTCTGTGTAGCAAAAAGAAATAAAAAATTCTGGTTTATGTACTCAGTGACACCTTTACAAAGGGTGATTTAACTGTTGTTTTTCTTCCTCTGTTTGCTTAGCTGTGCAAAACAGGCTTTCAAAGACAGCAAAGGCTCAGTCTGAGTTAATATGGCCTGTACCAGGTCTTCCATTTATTTGTATACATAAAACATGTCAGCTTAGATTAAACTAGATCTCATTATCCTTATGGTTGGCCTCTTAACTGAAAAGGTGTGTTAATTCTCTGTCATGCTGAGCAGCAGTCCATGCACTGTATTAGTGCTCCCTTTTCTGGCTCGCAGATTTCAAAAGCCTTTCCATTTCTTTTGTTCTTGAGTAATTTGGTGCTATTTTATTTTGTCCTGGTGACAAAGATATGCACATTGCCAAGGAAACACCTTATGCCACTTTATTCCTTGTCTCCCTGTATTCACTGATCCTTCACTAAGGGGAGTGATTCAACATCAAAGCAAAAAGTTTAACAGAAGAAATTCTGCCTGAAGAGACTTGTGACAGCAGAGAGATCATTGCTAATGAAGACATCTTGGTTGTGTCCAAGCTGATGCAGTCTTCCTTATCAGCAAAAAACCCAAAAGTTTTGTAGGGAATTTGTAGGGATTAAAAAGGAAATTAACTAGATAGAAGTGCTTTGCTTGTAGAGGTGAGTGGAGAATCAGGGGTGCATTTGCTTGATGTGAAACAGGTTCTCTCATTACAGCAATCTGGTAATTATAGGTTTGCTTTTCACATACATAGGATTTGGCAGTCAGCCTGTTTTGGGGAGGGGCATTGTCTTTAAAATGAGTCTTTGAATTCCTGTCCACCATCAATATCTTTTAGCACTAGTAATGTGTATATCATTTTGTTTGGTGAAGGCTATTGCCAATTAGTGTACCCAGACGTCTAGTTTTGTTTCCTTTTTTAATTTCTAATTCAGACTTGTGTTAATTTGTCTCTCAAAATACTTTTGCAGAAATTGAAACAGAGATATTTTCATACAGTAAAGCAAGCAGACTGTGCAAACAAAGCATAGTGTCAGGTGTTGAGGCACTGAAGTTGCCACAATTTACTGAGGAGCAATTTCCAAGTGTGGCTGATATGCAGCCCTTCATCTGGCCACCAGTTAAGGAAGACCTTTAAAGCATGTACTGAAGTCATGTCCATTTTATTAATTATAAATGCTAACCGGTGGCTAAGCACATGTGTAAATGCCTTTCTCAGTTGAGCCCTATGCTCTCAACTTGAGACAGGCCTCTACATTGGATGAACGTTGACCAGGATTCTCAAATGTGGAGACCACTAAGTTAAGCATAGCTAAATTCAGACATAGTGTACACTGCGTTCAAGCCTAGTTCACTTGAACATGTGTAAGTTCATAAAGCCTGTGAGCTTTATGCTGTCTTTCATAAATCAACATGGATATATTGCAGCTGGCATATATATGGTACAATATACTCCAACAACCTCATCCAGTATAAAGCTGCTGTAAGGTGATTGCCTTGCTGCTGAACAAAGGCCCAGAGTGAAATCTTTCTGATTCTAGCTGAAATGACTCTTCTGAATGATGAACTGCAGGATATTAAGAAGCAGGCTGTTTGTATCCGGGACTCACTTGGGAAACAATAAATCAGAATTAGAATGACAGAGGATCCATCTTTTCAGCAGAAGTTAACACTTAGATCCTGACCACAGATTTCCATTTGGAAGAAGCATTCTTGAGACATGTACAGATGTCTAGGGTGACGTTTCTTAACCCACAGTTTGTGAATAATTGCTATTTCGTAAAAGACTGAATGGTGGTTTAGTAAACTGTTGCAGTTTTTTTCAAGCCACAGGCATTCTCCTGAGTACAAGCTGGCAAACAAATGAGTAGGTGAAAACAAAAACAATAAGAGAACATTGAAAGTCCTGCTTCATTTTAGTTAATTGCAAATGAAAAGCTTTGTGGTGAAACTGTGCAAAATGTGTCCACATCTTTTTCAAAAGCTGTAGGAGGTCTTCCAATTGAAAAGATTGAGAGTCATTGCTCTCAGGCATCATAAAGATTCATGCGTGTTTCATGACATAGCTCTTGATTTCAGGAAAGTAATACATGAGATGACTGATGCAAGCATTTTAGCTGCTTTGTATTCGCAACCAGGGCTGAGTCAAATCTAAAGTGCACAGCCTGAAAAGGAGAAGGCCTGCAGGCTATACTGAGCCATCAGTCCCATTTCTGTGATGCAACCTGTCTCCCGCCCTTTGCACAAATGTGATTTTGCCAGTGTTATACAGATCACAAATTGAGTTAGATTCATTGTGTAGTACTGAGGCAGGGTGATGCGAGTCCTGACAAGAGCACATGCTGTCACTTTAAGTGGTTTCTGAGAATTAGAACAAGTAGCTTTGAGGCTTAGGCACCTGCAGAGAGGACAACAAAATTATTTTAGAAACATGCATACTTTACAGAATAAGCCATTATTTAAACAACTAAGCATATGTTTGAACTCATATAATCTCTCATTGAAGCAACATACTCCTTATCCTGATTAGAAAGAGAATACTTTAACTGCAGTACAAAACTAATAACAACATGTAACTTTCTTTTGTGAAATCTCCATCATTATTTCAATTGATGGACTAGCCAAGATAATTTCACTCTAATCGTGACAGAAAGTCCACACCATATTATCATAAAATATATATAAAAATACATAGCTAAATCTATAGTGCACTCTATTTGGGTATTTTCCAATCCAATGGGTTAACCCATACTCTTTATGTATATAGAAAAATTAGAATTTTTATCACGGTATCCTCCATTTCTTGTGACCCAATTTGTAGATCTGTAGTTCAGCCAAAGATGATTGTGGGAACATTTTGGATAGACAATAATGCAATAAAAGTATTTTCACTCCCTACGTGCATGCCTTCTTAGTAAAAAAGGGAGCAAACTTACTCCTTTTAAAAAAAAATAATCCTGCAATCTTTTTAAAGCAACCTCTCTCAAAGGATGATTAAACTTCCAGAGAAGTTGTAATGTATCTTAAGGCACTGTAATTATTCTGTTCTTCTCATGTGGCTCAGGAATATGGGAAGGCCCAGTATAGATAAAGACCAGATTATTTTGAGGGAAAAATGTGTTGGCAGCAAAATTTTATTAACTATATATTCAATGTGCTTCTCATTTTCAGAACTGTATTTGTTTCAAACTCAGGTTCTTAGTAGCTTGATACAGAAAAAATACTGAATTGTCCCTTTCTTATTTTAATAATAACTTTTCCCATAGCCAATATTTTTTATTGGTGCAATGAAACATGATCATAGCAATTAATATTGCTGTAATTGTGAAGTTGGGGGAACATGTGGGCTGTCAGGGATAAAATGTTTTCAGGGTTTTATATGACTACATTTAACCAGGTCTGCCCAATACAAAGGCAGGGCATGACTTCCTCTAAGAGTGTACATAAATTCATATGAATTGAGTACTATCTGAGTACTTTCCATTAAACAGAAAAACTCAGCTCCCTACAACAATTAAAATGTCTCTGAGGTATATGGTATAATATAGATGCAGAAATGTTCAAAAGTGTACTCAAAAGAGAGGTTTTACATCTCTAGCAATAGATTATTGAATTAGTTCAATGTTCTTGGGATGTATAATTTTAAATTTCTGGCTTTTTGAATACATATCTACTTGCCCTTTTTATTGTATGTTTGTTAGTGTGGGATTTCCTGGAAATTTTGAAAAATCTAGTTTAATAAGTAATAAAACAACCATCTTTCACTTTGCATGAATTCTCTAAAAACCTGGAACCTGCGAACAAAAATCCCATCACATTTATCCAACTGTTTGTCTCATAATCAGATTATTTTTCCAAGATGCCAGACCTTTCTAGTGTGCTGTTGCCACTTTATTTCATAGAATGAAAAGAAGAAAAAGAAGCTTGATGGGAAATGTGAAAAGCAAAACCAAACAAACATGTTAAAACTTCATGAGAAGTTATTGGGAGGACTAGTTAGGGAACCCCCAGACGGAAAAACAACTCTCAGTCCCGAGATGTGTACGGAACCTGCTTCAAGATGTGACTGTAGATGATTTGTAACAGTCTACAATATCCAATAGCTGGTAGAAGTGAAAAAGTCAATAAAACCTCTAGCTTGAAAGCGGGTGACAACTTATGAGTGAGGATGAGTGTTCAGGGGAACAAATAAAAGGGTAAAATAGTGGTAGCTATAAAGTAGCGTGTTTAATTAGAGCAGAAATAAGGGTAAATGTGTATCACCTTTTAAAAAAGAAGGAAAAAAGACCCTCCTGAAAAAGCTGGCATCATTTAAGTTTTGAGTAATGGGAACTCCTAGAATTAACAAGATATCGGTGAAATGCAGGAGAGACAGCATGTGAATGTCCAAGCTAGAAGAATACAAAAGAGGATACACTTGGCAAGTGAAACATGGTATTAGGCTAAAAGAGATTATAGAATTTTGGCAAACAATTTGCTACTGGCATAATTACATGAAATTATTTTTCTCAGAAGTGGAAATCTTGTTGTGCTAGAGAGAGAGACTAAAAAGCTGAAAGCAGATAAGGCCACATCAGGTGACATAAGCATGAGCAAAATCCTTTGCTACAGAAGTGCTTACTCACATCACAGTGACTAACAGAACAGGGCAAAAGTCCACCCTGTCCCACACACTCAGGCCACCAGCTGCACCTCTCAGCTGGGCACCGGGAACTTGTCCCTGACCTGCAGCAGCTCTACAACTAAGGCAGCAATGACAACAACGCATGCTGCTGTGCAATGAGGACATTCTCTAGTATAGCAGGAAGACCTACTGCACTGGACAAACTAAGCAGATGCTTAAGAAATAGAAGATATTACTTGGCATGTTGGATGAGCCAGAGAAGTCCAATGCAGAGAAGGAACCACTGGAAACGTTTCCTGATGGTATCACTCCAGCTACAAGGGAGAGCAGCAAAGGCCTTGCGTACCTACTCATTTTAGAGCTGTAAGACAAAAATGCACTGTATGGAATTTTAATATATAAGTGTATCTATGTTTTGCTGTGACAGCATGTTTGTTTCCTGAAAGCTCTAGTGGGTTGACAAGTACCATCTAGGTGTTCCTTTGTCTTCTTATAGGTCTTGTCATGAATTCATTGAGGAATGTGCACATATACACACACCAGAAAAATGGAGCTAGTTGCAGATATATAGGGAAAAACATGAAAGCAAAAGATAGTGCATTGACAGTGTACTTGGCAGAGAAAGTAACCAGAAGTACAAAAATAAAATACCAAAATTCTGGATTTTACATATTAATAGTCATCTCCTGGCTGTACTATAGTTTGTGTGTGACCTTGGATAAATGATCTAATTCCTTTGAATTTCAATACTCTAACTAAAAACCGGCATACTTTATTTGCTATTTAAACTGTAAAGTGTCTTTTATCATGGAAAAATCCAGTACAAGTCAAAAACCACACCCAGCCTTTATTAGTGCTTACAAAAATGAGACAAGGTGTTTAAAACATAAGTGTAGCAATGAAAGATAAATTAATGTCAGTTTGTATGCACTTGGTAGTTGGTTTGGGGGGTTATAATTCTACCTGCATATTCCCAGTAAATTACCATAGCTCATTTTCACCTAGTTATATTCTCTTTCTACTGTGAAACTTCAGCATTTTATGTTGCCTCTGCTTCTGGCCCACTGGTCATGCAGCAGGATACATTAAGTGAGACATTAACAGAATGAAGGAGGAATGGTTCCAGTATTTTAGGATGAATTTGGGAGAAAAAGTTTCTCTGGGAAAAAATCTCGCAAGCCTAATAGTGAGCATACGCTACTAGTGAACAGGTCCCAGGCTGCAGGTCCACTGAGCACAGATCAGTTACAAGTCTTGGTTACGGAGCTGTGGCTCTTGAATTCAGGCAGTAACATTTTATGATCCATTCTGTCAACAGGAATTCCACCACCTTTAAGTTGCTGAAGTTCAGAGCTTGCTTATATACCATAAACTGCAAATCATTTTGATGATAATTGATATGTGATATTAGTATTGGGCCACATGATGAGCATGTGGAACACATAGAAAATACATAAAATATAGCATTAATATAATACTGTGACTATAATACATTACTTATCAGTCAATTTTAGATTAGGATTCAATTTTATGCATCTGTCTCAATGGACACTTATGGGACCTTTGGGAAAAAAAAAAAATTAGATTCCCATAAGCTCCACTGAAGGACAGGTATTGGCTAAAATAAATTTATTTTGCCCTGTATCATCTATTCTCTTAGTTTATTGTTGGCTTTGCAGACAGGTTTTTTTTTTTCATTTGGTAATTTGCTGTAACACTCAATTTTATTTGCCTTTGGTTTTTTGGCTCTGCAGTTCTGTGCGACACTTGGAACCACACCTTGCTGCTCCTTTGACAAGCTGTTAGAACTGGGTCCTATTTGTAAGTCTTTGCTGCTACTTTCTACAATTGCAGATACCAGTTTAAGCCATGCTGAGTCATTTCCAGGGCATTGTGCAGCGTCAGTGTCCAAATTCAGTAAGGCTACTTATAGATGAGACCTTCAGTTACAGTTTGCTTTCTAATATTAGGTCAAGAGGCAAACTTGCATTCTCAAACTGTTAAAAGAGTACAGAGGGCATTGCCTCAAGGGTTTTTTGGGGGGCGCATATCTTGGAACGCTATCAGTGAAAAATTACTGTAAGTGCTTCAGCCTGTAACACTTTTCTTCAAGCCCTTCTACCTGCAAGTGCATCTAGAGCAATGGTGAAGATCAGGGGAAAGCTGAACTCCAGTTCTCCTCTGCACCAAGTGTTTTGTTTTGTTTCAATCTGGTTCTAACGACTATAAAAAGCAGAGAAATATGCACCAAAAATTCACATGTATTTTCCTTAATCCTTCCTCTCCCTTCCTCGATTTCCTTCCTCTTGCAAGAAAACAGGACAAGTGCCAGTGTGTTTAATACTGTGACCGAGTCACAGACTCTTCTTAAGTATTTCTGTGTTATGGTCTGTGGTGTCAAGCTTTGATCTGCAGAAAGGCTTGGTCAAAAGCACAAGCTTGCTGGCTGATGAAAATGCAGCAGAAGCGCACCATATCTATTCAAGTGTACGTTTAGAACTGGAAATTTATAGCTATAAGCAATTGGAAGCAGCCTCATAGAAATACAGCTAGATTTGATGTTCTGTTACTTTATTCAAGTGGAGCCTAAAACATTTGGGGTTTGTGTGGTGGTGACTCGCTCTGTGAGGTTTCCTGCCCTTCAGCACAAGCCCCAGAGACTCAGCTTCTCCCAGTCCTCCTTTCCAAAAAGGTTTCTAGTAGTCTGCTTAGCAGCTAGAGATTATTTTGCTGTTCAGGTTATTTCTATAGACCTGACCTAATAAAATAGTGACACCAATGCTTTTAGGTATAGCAACTAATCACGTGTTTTACCAATTGCTCTCAATGATTTTCTGCTTGTGCAGCAGAGACCAGCAGAAGGATTGTGCACTACTCAAATCATAAGTGTCATGCTAGCTTTTCTGCATGCAGGTGAATTTTCTTCTTAATATACATGAGCAGTAGTTCTATGAAATAAAGGCAGTGTCTTAAACCAAGTATATTTGAAAATATATAATCAGTTGAAATTTGAACATGTTTTCAAATAAACCTAAGTTGTGGATGTTATGAATAATGTTTTATTAGCCTCTTCCAGATATTTATGCAAAAAGAAAATGTAGTTCACAAGAATGCAAATTCCAGCATGAACTGGATGCCCAATTGCAGATCTGAATGGATATAGCTCTGTATGTGGAAATACCCATCAGAATTATTTGGTGACCAGTGTAAAGATGTTATGTGGGCTTCAGTCATCAGCTCATAGACCAGAATTGTTACCGTGTGCATTAATACAGGTGATCTATAGCAGAGTGTGAATACTAAATTAGAGAATACATGAGAGGCTCATATGCTAAAATATTTCTGCAGAAACCATTCAGTGACTAATCAAAACTAGCACTTTATTAACCTTTCAATGCTTGCTCTTGCATAAGTGTCTCAGTCCTTGAAATAAACAGTTTGCTGCACGTAGTTCAAAAGCATGCACATGCACGTATATCAATATGTAAAAATTACTGTTTAGAAACATGTGTTTGCGATTCATGAGTTAGAAGTGGGGAGCACAGCTAAAACTCTAGCTCCTCTTGCTAAAGTAGATAGTTTTATTACCATAGAAATGATAACTACATCTCTAGATACATTTTTTGAAAGTGTATTTTATAATGGCTTTTAAATCAAAGTAATTTAATATTTTATGTTGCTTAATATTAATACGATAAATCTAGACATGTAAGGACTCTGTTCCAGTAGAAGTCGGGAGGAAGAAGAATATGTTACGTATACATCTTTATGTATTAATGGAAACCCAGATGGTAGAAACATTTAATCTCTTAATTTAATTTTAAATTGGGAAAATAATAACATCAAAGAAAAATCTCTCAGGCACTTGGTTTCATGCAAATTAATAGGGCTTTTTAATCTTCTGTTTAATTTATTTCCCCTTCAATTATTTTTTTTTTTTAGGTAATAAGGAAAATATCTGGATGCATATTGATGCAGCCTATGCTGGGAGTGCATTCATCTGCCCTGAATTCAGGCATCTTTTAAATGGAGTGGAGGTGAATGAAGTGTTTCTTCTCTAGCAGCCTGCTAAAACCTTGCTCTTCCATAGAATTTATGTTTTTCTTATGCATCCAACATTAATGGCTTTTCTAGAATCTCTGAGTACGCTGCACTTCAGTTTGCACCACAAATTACTGTACATTCTATTACATTACTTATGTTTATATAATTTTTACTGCTTTATTCTGGGAGTGTGCAAGTTACAACAATATGTAAAAGTTTGTCATTCAGAATAGCAAGTAGTAGTAAGTCAACAAAGTGTCTTACAAAATAGAAAAAAGGAAGTTTTTCCCAAAAATCCAAAAAGGCACGTTTATAACACCCTAATTCTATATTACACAAAAAAGAAAACTAGTTCAACAAATTAATGAGCCGCTTATGTTTGATTTTTTGCTTATATCCTGAAAGTCATATAGGATACCACCAGTAACTGTATTTCAAACAGACGGGGTTTAATAACCGAGAGCGCTAAATGAAATATTCCCCCAACAGCACTCCTATTCCTTTTTCCCCCCTTGCTGAGCTACTTGGCATTCAGTTGCTTAGATAAGAATACTTCAATTTCCTGCTGCTCCCTTCAGACAGTCAGATAAGTCCTCGTCTTCCACGTTAGTGGAGAAAATATTACTGTTTGGTAAAGCCAGAAGTTTAAACACAGCACTGATAGGTAGTGACTAATGAAGAAGAGGAGGGAAAACCCCCTCACAAATAAAGCATTTCTTTCTGTCTCTTTTTTATCAGCAAATGAAGCTTGTTGTAATTTCCTGTGGGGGAATATTTTTTTAAATTATTGTTATTGGTTCCTGAAGGAAATGAAACAGCATCCCTTGTATGGGCCAGCATTTGTCATAAGAGTAAATATTTAACAGCCATGAATAGGTTTCCTACCTTACATAGAACAGGGAGATAGCCAGATAGATGTATAGGCAGAGAGACAGACAGACAGATAATCTTCTCTTATGAGAACAATCGTTAATTGTTTACAAGTGACAGGGAAGGTTATGAGAAACAAATGAGAACAGAAAAGTGCTATATGGAGTAGTCAGACCCTGGTGCTGGCAGGCCCCTGTCCGTGTTTTTTTAAGGCTGGTGGCTTCTGCCTTTGTTGAAACACAAAACATGGATGAAGCCTTTCCCACACGATGTCTGTCTTACCTACCTGGGTTTCCTCTGATGCCACGCCTAAACATATGTCAACTAAAACGGGCCTGTTACATGGTTTATATAAACATGTATTGTGAATGCTTGTTCTGTGTTGGTTTTTCTTTCGACTTAGATGAAAAAATGACTTCTACTAAAAGAAAATACCCTGGCAGTAAAAAAAAAAAAGTCATTTCCTGGTCAGCTGTAATTTTATGAATGAATGTGATATGCAGATTCTGAACTAAATATATCACTTGTCTCTATATATGAATTTTGTGAGTATATGTTTAATATTCTTGGAAACAGAAAGCTCAGTGAACCGTGACTGGAAACTGGGATATGAACCACAGTGGATGTTCCTGAGTATGCAGATTTTTTTTTTTAATTTATTTATTTTTTACCCTGAGATATGTACTTTTCCATAACATATGTATCTAAAAAGTATAGTCGTTACCAAATGCTCAAAGTGTTGATAATACCAGTAACCTAACCTGCACACCTAACCTGAATTCCATCCCCAAAATAAATGAAGATTTAACTACAACAGTTATTAAGTAAGGTGACTTCAGCATGAACATTATCTACAAAGACCCAGTTCGGGAATTCATTCATAGTTAAGGTGTACTCAGACAATTTGACAAAGTTGTATCATTAGCACGTGGATCCCTTTTGTCTTTCATAATTCTGTTTTTATTTATCCATTCTCAGTTTGCAGATTCATTTAACTTTAATCCTCACAAATGGCTCCTAGTGAATTTTGACTGCTCTGCTATGTGGTAAGTATTACAGTAAAAGGAAACATTACAAGAGACAAAAATCACATGTTAAATTAGTTTGCCTTTCTTGCAGTATACATTTATTTACATTTCTCTATTGAAATGAGTTCTGGATAGCTTTAACTCTTGTAAATTATTTACAAAATTCACTCTTTCATTTAATCCAAGTTTCAAAAAAGTAAAATTTAGAAATAGGCCTGAGCTCTGCATTATGTTCCAGAGAGAGAGAGGAATCCTGAAAAGTCTGCAGATTCATACTTGCTCCATTTTGGGACTGTTTATAACATAAATGAAAAATCTTCATTTGAGGATATTAATGCAATGAACAACATGCTAAACAGAGCTTTTTCTTCTTTTCTATAAAATTTCTTTTTGTTTAAGCCTTGATTCTTTTAAAAGCCTTTCTAGAAATGCTTGGGATTTGGCTGATGAAAAGCAGCTGATTTCAAAAAGGACTATTTATGCAATTTTGTACTGATCTTCAGTTTCCCAGATGACAGCAGAGATGACATTTTTATATAGAAAGATGGCCAAGTGGAAACCCTCAGACATACTTTGAAACAAACCAAAGTATCATAGCATTAATAATAGCAGTAAAACCATCCCATAATAGACGATCCCATTGGGTCCCAAAATGGAATCTCTAGAACCTCGTGTCTACCAGCATCATGACTAATGATACTTATTAGCAAAATAGCTATTCAGTAAATGCAGACTATTTATCAAAATAAATGAAAACATTAATTTCAGTTATAATAGAACAAAATTTGCAAAAATTAAAAAAAGAAGGAAAAACTGAATGTTAAAAAGAAGACTGAAACATCATCCAGGAGAAGGTCACCTTATTTAAAAGAAGAATAAATGTAAGACAGTGATCGCTCAGTTGCCTTTGGTCAACCTTCAGCTCTTTTAATATCATCAGCAAAGTTGACTTTTCCACAAATATGTACATTATTCAGATAATATGTTACATTTTTTATTTTAATAGTTTTCCTGATATAGGCACTTCAAATATTCCAAGCCATTATGTTTTTTTTTCTTTTCCTTAGAGTAAATGGCTTACATTTTGATCCTGATTCATCAGTAGTAGCAGTGATTAACCCAAGACTCTAGTTTATAAGTACCTCATAACTAGCTGTCTCTCTCTGTATATGGAAATAGGAGGACGATGAAACTGCTTTGCTAGTTTCTCCCATCTTTTTCTCGTCACTCAAAGACTTTGTTAACAAAGTAGCCACTCAGAAATGAGACAATGCACCATCATTCTCTTTAATGTTTGTAGGACAATCAGGGGTGAGAGTCTAGTCCCTACCAGTTTAATTTCTCATTAATTCTGCTTTCCCCTGTGGAAACACTGTGGAACTATGTTAAAAGTGTGTTACCTGGCTTTCCAGGAAAACAAGGTATGTACAGCCACAGTGTCAGTTTATGTTCCCATCTCAGGTGATTTTAGGTTCTTCCTAGCAAAGCTTAGACTTTAGACTTAAGAAAGTATTTTTCTCCATTTTGTTTCTTGCTTTTTTTTAGATAAGCCATTGCATAAAATATTTGTTTTCATAGGTAGGAAGATTCCATTATACGGAATCTCAGGAGACCTTGCACCATGTCTCCTTACTCAGAGCGAAAGCTTCACAACTATAGCCATTCAGGCTTAATTTCAGCAAGGCATTTCTGTATAGGTGTTATTCACCTAATAAAGAATGAAGTATACATTTAAAGTTAAACTCTTTGACTTGAAGCCAAATCCATTGTCCAACTACATCTAAGGCCCATGTCCAAAATTCACCTCTCTTACCAACTGTAGCGCTGCCTAAAAAGGTGAAATGTAATAATAAAGGATGAAGGAACCCGGTGAGAAAAGGTAACTGTGAAGGATACATGGGAATTATTAACCATGATATTTTAATAACATGGAAAGAGTTCAATAAACAGTGAACACCATTTCAGAATCAAAGTAAGCTGAGGTCCATTGACAGGCAGGCTTCTAAATCACCCAGGCTCCTCAGCACTTTCCCCAATAAACACTCCCATTTCTTTTCCCTGCAAGTTGATTAAGATAATCTAGCCATTAGATCTGTAATGTAATTATTTAACTACTCAGTGCAATATGTAGCACTGATGTCATTTGGGATTTAGAGGCAATTTCATTATAAACCTTTTGTGAAATATTCTCAGACTTCTTGATGTACAGAAAAGAGCAGTCAATTTCCTATAAAAAGGAAATTAATATAGCCACTCCTGAGAGGGGTGTATTTTCCATATTCAAATGTTAGGGTCCTTTGGAGACTTTGCTTTGAAACTACCAGTCAGTTTTGCCTGACTTGTTTAATCGGTACTTTGGAATATGACAAAATAGAAGAAGTGTCTTCTTTCAGAGAGAGTGAAAATAATAATCTTGTGAAGTCTTGGTATTTTTGCTTTTCTGTTACTCTTTTCAGGGTTTAAATGTTAACTTTTGGTTGGGAACGTTGTTTCAGTATTTGGAAGGAAAGTGCTTACAGGAAATGCTTATCTGTAGCTGGAAGTGAAATTTTCCTGTTGGTTTATAATATGAAGTCACCTTTTTGGTTATTGTATCTATAATTTTAAAACAGACAGAATAGAGTGAGGCTGTTGAAAGCTGCAGATGTGCAATCCAAGTAAGTCACTTTTCACAGTTTTCAGTACTTTATTCACCAGGACTTCTGTTGTGCATTTTGTATTATGAGTACTTAATATGTGAACCTGTGCCACTCAAGCTAGATCTTAGTCAGTCTATTAGTGTAAGATCAAGCCTTAAAAAATTTCTAGTTTATCAATGACATTTTTGAAATATATATTCATGATCCTTCAGTCAACAAGGGGTATTTGCAAAGAAAGTTAAGGACACCACTTCTGTCCATTACCAGACCACACAAGCACTTACTGCAAAGAACTTTAAATACATAGGGTGAAATCTAGACATGGTGTATAGAGGTGCAGCTCAACTGGTTCATATACATTGATGTCCAGGCTTTGGATTTATTTTAGTAATCCTTTTAGACAGTTTTTCATGGTTGCCAGATTAAGACCTGTGAAGTCCACAGATGGAACAGGCACCATCTTTTAAAAAAGCAGTAACATCACCAAGGAACTACAAGATGACAGCATTTTTACATCTTCTAAGCTAGGTGTTCCTGCAGAATAGTTACCTGTTCCATTGTTTAGCACAGCATATTACAGGAGAAGAAATGCAGCTCTCACAACACAACTAATGATACTGCTTGTAACTTGAGTTAGTTGCGTACAGAATGAGCTAGTGAAACACAAATATATCAAAGTACTCAAACATATCCAATAAACTACAGTAGAACAACTTAGGATTTGGTAAAAAGTTATCCTAATTAAACCTGTTTTCAGCTAATAGTTTCTTCCTTCTGTCCACAGGACATTTCCAGCACACAAATAGGTTATTAATTGTGTTTATTGAGAGCATTCTGAATATCTTTTACTATTTTTCATGTGCATAAGCTTACTTATCTTCAGCTACGTACTTTCCATACCTGAAGGCAAGTACTTGACTGTTAACCTTGGTACTTCCCTGACCCTTAGTGAGAGGAAGGATTTTTGTTTGTTTGAATAAGATGTTTTATGAGCACAGTCTAGATGCGGATGAGAGTGGGAGTATGTACTGGCCTGTGCATTTATACATGCACACTAAAATATTGGAAATTAGATTTTTACTTAGAAATTTACATTAACACATTAAAAACCAGAAAAAAACGGATGCACAGAATAATAAAAGGTTTGGACCTTTGTCATTTAGAGTGTCCCTGTGTTGACATAGTTATTGCTTACTTTGTAATGTATTAATAGGCCTAATATAATGACGTAGCAATCTTTCCTTTTCTGATTTCTGGTTTCTTCGTCTTCTGCCTTTATAAACCCCAGCATTTGTGGAGGTGAGTCAGTCTTACACACAGAGCAAAGCCTAAACCAGGAAAGTCTTGTTATTACCCACTGACAAAACGTAGCTTATTCTCTCTAAAAGGGAACCTCCGTCCATTCACACCACCCACTCCGTGGCAGTAGTCAGGTATGCTTCTCAGTTTTCCATTGTGCCGTAGTACGTCGGTCGGTAGTTGTATATCGGATCCAGCTAAGGGCAGGGTGGTGCAAGAGGGAAGCCTGAGTCTGGACTGGGTGGCCCGTCCCCACCAGCGGCAGCTGCCGCCACCACTGCAGCGTGGAGAGACAGTGGCCAGCATCCCCAAAGCCTCGCTGCGGCTGTGCGCGGTGTCTAGGAAGCCACAGCTCTTCCCACACAGATTTGTACTGCAGTAATTTCAAGGCAACTTCTGTTGACTGCAAACATTAACATTGCTTCAGCTAGTCTCACATTCTGGTGTGAGCGTCTATCACCATAAAAAGATCCTCTGTGTCTGTTTCTTGTCTGTTTTTAAATATGCAGTTGTGCAGTCATGCTGCCCGTTCCTGCTGAGCCTTACACTTAACTACTTGTAAGTACAGTACTGATATGGCTGTGAAAAAGCACTGAAAATGGCACAGGCTGTGCTCAGGAAATACGCCAGTTTAAACACATTCAATTTGCCTTCACTTCTTGTGGAAATTAAATGCCTTAAATTGTAATTCTTAAATTTCTCAATTTGATTTCTTTTTTATACAGGGTGAAGAAAAGATCAGATTTAACAGGTGCCTTTAAATTAGAACCTCTTTACCTGCAGCATCACCATCAGGAGTCTGGTAATTTTTTAATTAAATGAGATTATTATTATTTTGTTTGCACACTATGTGATGGAAAAAAGGACTTAAGATGAAAACTGAAATTCTTGAAACTACCTAAGTTGTTTAGGAGCCTATTTCCATTTTCAGAGTGCCCTAGGGAGTTAAGCTTATTAAAGTGCAAACACATGTCTAGAGAGATTTTAGTTAGTATAAGAAGCAACTGAGGGAAAGCCATTTTATAAAGCATTCTATTGATACTTTTGTATTGGGATTTCCCCAGCTCCAGACTTACCACTGACTCTTTGTAGGAGTGTTGAGAAAATTCTTAATGATCTTTTGGCAGTCAGATAAACAGATTGGGTTCTGTGTATCGAGTCCCTTAACCTGCCTTCCCCAACATACCTTTCTCCAGAATGGTTTCAAGATCTGATTTGTAGAGTTTCTAAAGTCTGTGACCTTTTTTCTTAGCTGTTCGTGCAAGCTCTGATTGAAATTTTCAAAAACTCATGTCAGGAGCAAACACTCCCTGAAACTGCAAAGAAGGGGTGAGCTGTGTTTGGTGTCTGTGCTCTATTTTCAGTGATAGCTATCTGGGACATTATCCTGTTGCTTTCGTGTTCTCACGTTGATTGTAGAGAAGGCAGTAAGTGCAGGCTATCCGTCTTGTACAAAATGCTCATGAAAGCTCTTCACAAAATGCTCACAAAGAACTTACAAATCGTAGGCCCTGTACAAAGCTCCTTAATGGATTAGTGCTGCTTCTTGCACATACCTAGCAACTGCAGAGTGGCATTTGCCATCCTGAAGCCTGTTTTCACACATTCAGTTATTAACTGATTAATTGTGAAGAAGGTCACAGCAGTGTCAACATGTGGTTCCCTCATAACTTTCTCAAGAGGGTGAATCACATGTGGATGTTCTTACCATTTACTCTATCTCATTTTTTCCCTGGAATTGCTGGTGCTGATCTGTGTTCAGAAGTACATCCTGAGTACCTTTATCTTCTCTCTGTTATGGCTATGAACTCATTGACATTTAAATTAATACCATCCAGAATTCCACCATTCACTAAAAAACCCTAGGAAAAATGAATTCCTGTGCCTTAATCCTGAACTGGCAGAAATTTTGCATTTTATTCCTTTTCTACATTTCCAAGCAATGCAAATATAGAACAGTTGCAATAAACAAGAAAATACAGTAACTCTGGAGCTGAGGTTCACCCTCCAAAGGCCAGAATTGTTAAGAAAAACCCATATACTTGGGTTTTGCCTTTTTAAATGAAAAATACAAGTTATAGCAAATACACTTAAGTCACCAGCTTTTACTTAACATACATGAAAAATATTTCTCTTCAGGAGAAAATATCCAACCTTAACTACAGTGAAAATATGTTCTTGTGACAACTGACAGTGCTGATACAAGAACCTTAGGTCTTCCCCAGGTTAAATTACACCAGAAGAAAATCAAACCTTTCTTAAAACTTGGTGCTCTCAGTGAGGCCACCTAGTTGACCTGAAAACATTATCTCCCCAGTTGGATAGTAAGTTGTTCAGCCTTCGTCTTGCCTTCAGAAGCTATGATAGAATGTTATGCAATCTGGACATAATGATTTCAAGGAGATCAGCTGATTACTAGCATTCTAGTGATGCTAAATTTTTCTACGCTCTATTCCCATCTGATATCAATTTTCCAAAGAGCTGGACAACACTTTTCAAATGCAAATGCCTTTAGTTGAACTGTTAAATCCAATCCATACTTGCGCCTTCCATAAACATAGTCAAATTTGCAAAGGTGCTAGGCTGTTACGGTCCCTCTTGGTCCCTGTGCGATTTATGGGATGTCAGCACTCCTGGAAATATGACTTGCCTAATGGAGGGTCTTATTTTCTGACTATGTCTCAGGTCTGAGAATTCCCATCATGGTTTACAGGGCAAATGAAGTAGCATTTTTGAATTCGCTCATCTCTCACTCAAGAATTTAAATGAGCGGAAAAATATCTCTATCTGTGAGCAATTACTCTTAATAACCATATGGCAATTATGTGTGCCCCCAAGGGGAAAGTCTTTATTTTGTCATTAATTATAATTTTATGTGATTTGCATCATCACACCAGGACGATTATACTAGCTTGCCTGGCAACCCAGGATATAGGTCAAATCCTAATGGCAGTGTTAGAAGAATGCAGCTTTATACTCCATTGTGAATGCCACGTATGCTCCCACAATGCAATTCCTCCTGGTTAAATACAGATGTAAGACTAAGGCTTGTAATCAAGGACTAATCATTGATTGCATTCTGCTTCACAGCTTGTGAAAGGCGTTGTTGTGGATCATTAGACATAGCCCCTTACAGGAGCGTAGGATTATTTATCTATCATCAGTTGCTTTACTCTCTTTGCAAGCAGTCTTGCAGCTATCAAACAAAAATGGCTGCTACAATGCAGAAGAATATGAATGTTATCAAATTACCTCTTTACTGAGCTGAGACAACCATGTTCATTTCCTGAGGTCCGGGAACAGGTTAATGATTGTTGGTTGTTGTGTCTTTTTTTTTTTTTTTAATCTGGAAAATACCATAGTAACAGGTTAAAGAACCAAATGGCTATATGTTGCACGGAGGAAGGACCATGTTTTTTCCTGTGTTTTGGGTGCATAGATGAGAGAACATTGGCAAGACAGCTTGTAACATAGGAAATTGTTTGTTTGTTTTTTTATTTTTAACTCCTAGAAAATATAAAAGCTGAGAATTATGTAAATTGCATAGACTGGTCAAATTCAGAAGCTACAGTTCTATATACTACCTTGCAGTTCACAATTCCAGGAGCAGTTAGACAGCACTTTCCCATGGAATTTAAGTACATACTTTTGTATGAAGCTTATACTCCACTGCAGAGTAATAAAGCAGAAAGAATAAGAAAGCTAAGCAGATGCTTCCACATTTTCCTAAAGAAGGGCTTTAAGTTTTACATCAGTTTAATTTCTGTCACTGGCTTACTGCAACTAACCCAGTTTTACATTATGGTTTCCTTTACTGTGAAATCAGTTTAATTACCCGATTCAAAGAAAAGGTAGATGCATCTTGACTCTGTGTGCTTGTATAAAAGACAACTAATAATGCCCTCTACTTGCCTCCCTGGACTGCTTTGTGGCTTGGTCAATCTGTGTTTGTAAGGGGCTTTCACTATGTCAAAGGAAAAGCCATAAAAAACCACAGAATACTATTCTTCAAGCAGGAAGAGGTCAATTCTGAGTCAAATTTTCCAATCACTTGTTAGACATGCTGAAGAATTAGCAACAAATGTAAGAATGAGTATAAAAGGCAGTTAGAAGTGGATTATTTTAAAAAGTATTACCAGTTCACTAGGGTAAAGGTGATGACATTTCACAGCAGAGAATGAGCAATGAAGTGAGCTTGGGGATTCTGCAAACTGTTTAAAACAAAATTAATGATGGCTATTTTATCTACTACTTCTTTTCCTTACAATAAGAAAATAAACAGTATTTAGTCCATCATCTCCACAATATATGCAGTATAACAGAAAGGAAAATTGTGTTTCTTCTCCTGTAAACTGTTTAACTTGTTAGTGGTATATTCTGAGTAGCTAAGGAATGAAGCTTATTACCTTCATTTAGCATGCTGCCAAGTACCCTACTAGATATTTAGTGGTCCTGTTGACACTGATGATGCTGAAGTTTGTAGCAAACATACAGGATAGCTACAATACAGCTTTTTCAATAACATTAGAATGATTGAAGGCTTTGACTGTTCTGATGAAGCAATGTGAACATTTTTTCTTTAACTTCCAGGCCTTGTAACAGATTATCGGGTAAGTACAGCATCAATGTAATAATTAATACTATTACTGGTATATACTGATATTTTCAGAACTTTTATTTTCCATTACTATCATAAACCTCAAACCCTTATGTTTCTTTCCAAGAAGGATGCAGCTTGCTAAATTTTTAACATTCCTCAAGCTGAAAATTTAAACTCTATTTTTTTTTTAAATTGTTTACAGGCAGAAATTGTCTTGCATATGCAATATCTCAAGGTTTAGACAGTAGAAAGAAATGTCCTAAAGATTTTTTTTCCTTAACATAGTGAATAATACATTTTTTTTTAAAGAAAAACGCATATGTGTTTTAATATTTAACCAGTAGAAACACTGTTGTTTTGAAATGGAAAAAGGGCCTGTCATTGTAGATGCTAACCCCACAACTGTAAACAAACCAATGTACATGAACTTCTAAGGTACTTATTTTTCTAAAGCCTTCGAGGATAATTCAGGATGCACAAAGAAAATTTGATTTCCCTTGTGACCTTTTCATTCTGACACCAACCTCCTTTTCCAATTTTAATTCGAAAATTTTGAGTATTAAACAGTCACACCAGGGCATTAACCAGGAATAGACATTTGTACTATTATTTGACCTGCCTCTAGCAACCGCCTGTAGGCTGTGGCAATGCGGTGTGCTTCAAAATCATTGCAGAATGCACAGTTTCTGCAGTATCCCTGCAACGGTGACTTCTGACGTGGGTGTCCTCCCTTCTCCCTGGCTTGCAGCACTGGCAGATCCCCCTGGGCAGGAGGTTCCGCTCCCTGAAGCTCTGGTTCGTGCTGAGGATGTATGGGGTCACGGGGCTGCAGGAGCACATCCGCAAGGTGAGTGGAATTTGCTTTCTTGGGTAACCTGTGGTGGGACGGGAAGAGAAAATGAGCTGGCTACTTATCTACTTCCCGTGACTTCTGTACACGTCAGAAAGCACAGGCAACAGCTTTTAGACAGCTCGGTTCCATAGGGGTGCTGCTCATTTGCCCCACGTAGTGTCACATTTTCATATCACAGCGGGTTCAAAACTGTTATCTGTTTTGTGTTAATCTTTAAGGAAGACAAGTCTAGGAATTCAGAATTTCTACCATGTGGGACCATAGTTCCCTCTCAAATTAAGCCAGAGCACATCCATGGGTTTACTGCAGAAAAACATGTTTATTCATTACTTCTTTATTTTATTAATGTGCATGCAATGATAGCATGTTTTGATTATGATTAAGGGATACAGTAACTTATAGGGCATCTCTACCTCTGCTTCTTCTTTGTTTTGTGTTTAAAATACATCTTTTTTTTAAAAAAGAGAATGTGTACAATTTACAGTTTGTTAACATTGTTATGAATAAGTACTAAGTTTATTCTTGATGTAAAAAGGAGTTTTTTAATCACTAAAAAACACAGCTGGCACCAGTCTAAATTATATATATACTTCCTCTGTAGCAGTAAAGTCAAATTCAAGCATACCTTTCATCATTATGAAGTTTAGGGAAACTTCTAGTGAGGAGATCCATGAGTTGGCTCTAAAAATTTACAAAAATATCCATTAGCTAAGGGTCTGGTCTAGTACACCAAACTCCCCGCAGACACACATTCCTTTCTATTGTGGTACTAAACAGATTAATTCCTAAGAAAGGCTTTTTCCACTGCTGTAAAATCACTACATGAGGAAGTCTCTTTCGATTTGGAAAGGTTCTGGGATAGAGGGTACCCTCTTTGCTTCCCTTTTTCATCACACTGTAATTTTCAGCTGACTGATATCAAAATTAGACTTTTATCCTTAATGAGTCTTTCAGAAATAAACTTTGACAACAGTGGTAATCTTGATGTTCTGTCATCCTTGTGGCAATTGTGATACATATCCTTCTGATGAAAAATTGATACAAGGTTTGTTATTGCTTTACTAGGCTACCATTACAGTTTCTAGTGGAATTCTCTCTCAGGTTAGATTTCTGGGTATGTTGCCAAGTTTTTAAGTAGGGCTAAATCTCTCACTGGGAAAATAGAGGATTGGAAGCCTCATATCAATTGCATGGCCTCTTATCAGGCTGGTTTCCACAGGTCAGTATTTACATTCAACAAGTTCCCTCTTTCCCTGCCTCCCAGACATTTCCCTGACTGTCCAGCCAAAAAGTGCTTGTCTTCCTATAATCATAGCTGAAGACCAGGTTTTTATATTTTCTGTGACAATACAGTTTAGGAAGGCTAAGTAAATCAATCTTTTCTTGAAGACACTGACTCCAAAATAAAACCCTAATATGTTCCCTTATTTGTAAAGGTAATTCACATGGCTAGATCTCCAAGGGCTTGTTGAATTGAGTGTGTATGTTTAATACTTCATTAAGGACTATATTGTTCCCCAGTATACAGAGAAAATAAGTTATGACCTTATGTTTGCAACTTTGAAAGGGGAAGAGGTGTAATTAAGGGCAGAATTTCTATCTCATTGTATACATCTGTCAAACTGGAACCATTAAGTTAGTTTCTCCTCGCCACCACCACCCCACCCCCCCGCCCCAGATGAATGATGATTCAATTCAGTGAGTTCCAAAGCCGCTTTAAAAAAACCAAGTAATTTCTGTCTCCAGCAGTTCTCAGTTGAACTTAAATTTCAAAAAACAATTGCATTTCATTTGCTCCCTGCTCTAGCAGAATTTAAAATATCTCTTGTGAGTTTGCAGACACGTTGCTAAAGTTATATCAGTAGCTGCAAAATAACAATTATAAATGTGTTTCATATCTTGCACATTTTCCTCTCTTCTCAGGAATTATCGTGGGTTCCAGATATATTGTGATGACTTTCCTTTTGGCAGTGTAGTAATGAAGTATGTAAACCCACCTGACACTGGTTTATATTTTCAAACCAATAGACAAGTTTCCAAATGAAAAGTAATTTGGAATTTAACCTCACTTGTTAACTTCACTTTAGCATTGCTTATCACAGTGCTTGACCTTGAAAAGTTGCTTTCTTTTAAACATGTTGTAGCATCTTGCAAATAACAGCTTTTATATTCCCATTGCTGGCAAAGGCAGTCCTTGAAGAGAATAGCTGGTACTGTATCTTGTGGACTTGGACTTTTAGCTGGGTTTTAAGGGAACCTCTGTAGCTGCCAGAATTATTTCTGAAGCTGCATTTATTACGGTGGGTGATAGAGTGGACATAGGTGGAATGAGAAGAGACCTAAGAACAGTGGCAGAAGCAGATATTGCAACCTTCAAGTGGAGAGCAGTGTGGCTGGAGCTGGGGAAAAAGGGAGAAGTGCTCGCGCTCTGTTGTGTTATTAAGGAGTTGCCCCAGAGAAAGGGCCACAGAGTCAGGCAGAAGAGCAGATGTTTGAAACAGCTCCTTGGGCTGGAACCTGGGGAAGGGGATGCCTACGTTTGGGATGTAGCAGGCAGTCATACACCACGTAGTTTTGATACGTCAATGTATCTGCATGTAGGGCATGTCGGTCCTGTTCACGCTATACAATAGCAGCTAAGGCATGCCTGTTCAGATGCAGGGATGGGCCTTATGGAGAAATTTGGGACCTAGGGTTTCAATTCCTTTCTGAGTTTGTAAAAATCCCAATATAGACGCTGTGATCACCTAGTAAAAAAAAAAAAAAAGACACTTCAGCTCCTAAGTCATACAAAACTGTAGGAGGATTTATGTGGTGTTTATAGACTTCTAGTTAAGCTTCTTTTGTGGAGCCAGGTGTTACTTACAAAGTGATTTGAGATTTTCAATAGTAATGAGCTTCTGACATGATATAGAGGGAAAAGGCACTGCATATCCTTAAGAAGCCACCCTATTTGCTGTGTGATTAACAAGCTTCTATATGGAAGACCAAAGATATCTGTAACTATCTCTTCCCAAACTTTTCTTTTTTTCTGGATGTAAACTGCCACAAAAAACTACTTGTCTCTTTTTTTTTTTCTCTGTCTTTTATTAGTATGTTTTAAGAAAAAAGATGTTTGTTATGTTTGCTACCTTAATGTCTGCATGAAAATGACTAGATAACCACTGCAACTGGCATTTACTTGTACTGAGGAAGGCATTTAGGAACTAAAATATTCCTGAGAGATTTGAATGTGTGACTTGGATTTAGACACAGTAACTTTTTTTGTTTTCCAAACCTTCCAGTTACGCACTCTTTTCCCAAACAACATGTAATATTAACCTATTGCAAAGTATAGGTTTTAAAGCAGTGGTAAAGGGGAAGACAGTCATCTCTGAAGGATGTGGGGAGAGAAAAATACAAATTTTGGAGGTAAGTCCCAAAGCCACAGAGATGTACAAAAAGGGCAAAACCAACAACAGTAACAGTCTTCTGGACTGATTCCAAACATTCAGTCAGTATAAATGTGAAACCCAAATGGCCTGTTTGTAAATGGCCCATTTGCAAACTGCTTGACCATCTTTGTTAGTTTAAGTCCTCTCAAAGAGCTCAGAAGTAATTTGAGAAATTTAGCGGTTAATGTTTTTGTATGTGATCCCCATGAACATTCTGACTCAGATGAATCCTCTGTAGGACCAGAAGAAATAAGTGTACTATGTCCTCCTTTATTCACTGAGGATAATGAATTCCACTAGAAATTAACAGCAGAGACCAAGATACTGGAACTGTACAGGACAGCAATGCCAGAGATAGCATTCAACTGGGGAGTGGCACAGTCCAAGTCGCTGTTGAGAAGGCTCTGTAGACAGCATTTTCCTTCAGAGTGCAGTGGGATGCGAGCTATGGCAGGCAGAGAGGTGAAATCTATAGGAGGAAAAGCATGAAGTGATCAAGGCTAGGCAGGTATGCTTATTTGCATATACACACTGATGTACTGTGATGCTTCAGAGAAGCTTCCTTCAATCAAAAACTATTTTAGTTCTTGAAGGCTTTGCCCAAAAATCAAAATTCAATTTAAACACCTTAATGCAGAAGCATTTATATTTATATTCACACATATACATACACAAATACAGATTTTTTAATAATAGGGACCCCATCTTAATGCCTCACAAGTTTACTGTTCCCATTAGTGATTATGTAAGACACTTCCCTTAATCCTGAATAACCAAATGAATGAGATCCCTTTCTTGTTTCACTTCTCGCTGCAGAAGAGCGATGGTTATTTACCTGAGATAGATAGTGATACACAAAAATTCCTTACAAGCTTCTTTTCTTCAATCTGCTAAATTTCACTGTGAAGAGAAGGGCTGGTATTCTGTTCCTATATACCAAGAATTTTCAGGCAACTAATGCAGTCCATGTGATTCCACTTTGGGAACCCACATGATAAAGGGATTGTCCAAATGATATTGCTAGAAACAGCATATGAGTTGGTTTGCGTATGTCCACTTTTTTGTTAAAATATGTAACAGCATTAAATAAAAGAATTTTTAAAAGTTAAGTAATATTTGAATGTCAGCATTAAGTTAATGGTGCTAGGGACACAGCATGACACAAATGTCAAAATCCAAAGCATTTTGAGGTTTGAAATATCCATAGATCAGGCTTGGTATGTACACATTCAGCAGAAAACTGAGAACAGCCTGTTACTTTTTACCTCTCCTGCTTTCTTATCCTTAGTTTCAGTGCCTGCAGTTCTCCAAACAGGACTTTATTTTCACAGTTTACCTGCCTGTCTTGAAAAGTTGAAGCACTAGAGCCACACGTGTCCTCCTGTGAGTTCTTGCCATGCTTGTGTCCGGAGCGCAGGTGCAGCTCTTGGACTCACAGAGGCAGGTGTGATACCCAAAAGCCCTTCAGTTTTACAGAGTTAGAACTTCCAAGCTTAAAAATGCTTAACTTCATTGGGTTTAATTATGTTTGGTTGTAACAATCTTTGTAAAAGCAACTCAGGATAATAGCTTATAGTTCAAAGGTGCAGGGCTTTGGGTAAGTGTGTTAAGCAAAGCTATTACAGGTGAAACCAGTTAAATCGCCACTTCCTCGCCAGTCCAGTTCTGTATAATCTAAAACATTTGGTGCCCCCCAGTGGCTTTACAAATTATTGCTACTTGTTAAGATGCTATGGATAAAAGTGCTTGAATCCACACATGAATACAAAATACTTCCAGAATTTTGTTTTGTGTTTTACTGAACAGTCTCTATTTTTCCTTGCTTTTATGTCTTTCAAATTCCTGAAAAATCCTTTTGTGCAAAAAGTGGACATAAATACCTGCTATAAAATGTACAGCATGGGTTTGGAGTTTTCTTGTACAAACTACTCACAGTAAGCCAAGTCTTAAATTTTTGTTTTATTCAGTTCTTACCCAGGTAAATTTTGATTAAATTCAGTTGGTGATTACATTCAGCTGAACAGTTGTGAAATTCTTACCTCATTGAACATGATGTTTTTTATGGCTTTGATTTCCAAGACGTAGTATATGCAGTGTGAAATTTTGCAGAGCTGTGTAAAAGACATCAGTTTAGTTAAGGCTATGGAACATGAGGATAGGAGGAGACAGTAAAAGATCATTACGACACGTATGCGTATTTCACATACCTTTTCCATGCACTTATGCATACAAGTATCTGTATACATACATATACTTCTGGTCAATTTTCATAGCTGTTTATATTAGCAGAACATTCAAATGCCTTGGAAAGGACTAGGCATTTTATTCATCTCATTCCTGACTCAAAAGAGCTTTCAGTCTAATTTTAGAGGGAGATGGTAAATGGATGTAACAAACAGCAGAAAGGAAGTGGTAACAACAGTAAGATTGGCTGGTTGCATAGGGTACCAGTATGCCCAATATGAAGGTTTTGAAGCAATGTTTTGATTCAATATAAACAATGTTTTTCTATTTTAAGAAATAAACAAACATCAGAAAGCTATGATTAAGACTGCAAAATGTGTTGGGGTTGGTTGTTTTTTTTCTTTTCTGTAATTTCTGTTTTGCCTTGTTCTTGTCCTTTTGGAAGAAGTTCCTGTGAGCTAAAACATTCCACATCTAACCCTGGCCCAAAGTGAAATGTTTCATTTTTGTTTGATATCTGTCCTTGAACTTGCAAAAAGACAAAGTGCAAAAGCAGAAAAAGACATGGAGACATGGGCTTAGTTGCTTGTTTTTGTAAAATTATTTGCAATCATAAATATATCAAAGCTAAGGAACTTTTAAACATCACTTTAGATGTTGCTGATAATTTTTGGTGTAGACTGGCTATTGCATGAAGACAAACTGTAATTCTAATAGCTGGTTGCTGTTGTCGTTTGGGGGGGGGGGGTTGGGTTTTGAGGGGGTTTTTTTAGGGTAGTGAGCACTAAAGTGATGATAGCCAGTGAGAGGGGGACTGGATAAGGTACTGCAGGTACCTGATGAGGATATGGGTTCTTTTTTTCCAAGAGCTTTTGAATTAATTCATCTTCTGTTTGGAAGAAAGCAAAATGTGGTATGAGTATGCAAGCATCGCTGACTGATGTTAAGACTTCCCAGCTGGCTGTTAATATGCCTGTTGTTATTTTTCCTATTTGTTTGATTTTGGAAGAGTACTGGTTTCCTATGCTTCAAAATAATTTCCCTGGCTTGGTGTTCAATGCCACTCTTTTTTCCCCAGTAACTTCTAAACAGGTTGGCTGAGATTTGCTACTCATTTTCTTGATTATACTGCCATCACCTTTCTTTTCAACTAAACCTGAGCACCCAGGCCAGAAGAGTGAGCAAGTTCTCCCCTTCTTCACAGTTATTCTCATATTCAGTGAACTATTCTAAAAAGTGTATCTTTCCAGCTTATTTTGCACTGGAATAGTGATCATTTTCTCTCTGTATACTTGTGCATCTCCCCCTTTCCCCGTAATAACTTTTGGACTCTTTAGCCATTCCCAGCCAAAACTGACAGTGGTAAAAAACCTAAAGAAGAATTATTACAATCATTTACTATTAATATGGTATCATATAAAACTGTGCTGAAATGTTTCATTAAGAAACAGACTAGTACTGCGTAAGATAGACTGAGCTACTAATATAGTAATGGCTTGATATGGTCCCTGGAAGTCATAAACGGGATGTAAGTTAACATAAACAGATGGCGATATGTGAATATTATCACATATCAGAAGAGGGAACAGAGAAAAGAGATTAGGGGTGGAAACAATTTAGCACATCTTTTCTCTTGAATCAAATTTGTACAATGTAGATACTATCTTTCTCTTCTTAGCATGTCAGGCTGTCGCATCAATTTGAACATTTAGTCCTTCAGGATGGAAGGTTTGAAATCTGTGCTGAGGTTGTCTTGGGACTAGTCTGTTTTCGGCTGAAGGTAAGGCAGCTAAGACCTCCTATTTCTTCTGTCATGTTTTATAGCAATACAATAACCTGCAATTGAATATAGTCTTTGTAGTTAATGTACTTAATTATTTTTTAAGGAAAGTAAAGGGAGTTCACATAGATCAAAGCAGATTAAAGAAAGAGGCTTAAGACAGTTTTTAAAAAAATTAATCAAATGCTTAAGAGAAATTCAAGCATACTAGGGTATGGAAATATATAGTCAAGGCAAACAAATAGTCTCACCAGTCATACAAAAATGACCGCTATTTTCTATGCTTGATGGGCTTTGATGAAGGTGATTGTTTTAATGTGTTTCCCTAGATATTTGTATATGAAGTGTGAGTGTGTGCATGTATTACATGGTTTTTGTCAAGTTAATTTTATATGTGTGTATATTTAATATCCAATATTACATATATATATATATAAAATAACTATCATGGATGAAGATTAGAGTAGTAAACACTTTTTGTTGTTTTCTTTAAAGAATACATTTTCATTTATAAAATCCTACTGTCAGACTAGGCAAATTGGAACAAGACATGAGTAAGAAGAGGATGCATGGGAGGGCAGCTTCCCAACTGCCCTCAGCCCTGGTCTGCTTTTTTTTGCTGAACATGACCCTTTTGCCCCTCTTGGTCTTTCATTTCCCAAAATCTCTGTAAGTGCCAAGTTCATTGACATGGAGACCTTACCTAACAGAAACTAGAAAACTCACTCTGCACTCAGAGCATAAGAGCTGCAGTAGTTGAGAGGGCTCACTTGTTTAGTCAGACATTAAAAGGGAATCAGTATCTTATTTTAGGTAAAGAACTCATTTAATAGAGGAGCTTGCAGCTAAAGCCTCTGTAAAGGGCTGGATTGTGACACCGAATCTGAACACCAAGCAATGACAATAACAGCACTGATGTTTTCTAGTTCACGTGATACCTAAGTGAGCTTTTAGCTCTTCCGAAGGCTCACAAGCACATCTTGGCTCCTTCTGGGTAGTGTGGTATTACTGCTTTTCACAAATTCTTTTCTCAGTCATTCAGTTGCTCCAGTTACCTGAGTTTGATGCAATTGGCTGAAGGAGCTAACAAATCTTTAACAATAAGGTAATGGTGAATTCACCTGGAATAGGAAAATGGTTTTGTTTGAATTTATGTTGTTTAAAATAAAAGAAAAAAAGTCTGGTGCTAGGGGATCAGACAGAATGTGGAGTTTTTTCAGTAAGTAGAAACATGAATATTATTTCTTTCCTAACAAGAACTTTTAAAAGATTTTGAGGAATAGGTTCTGTGGCTTTTATTGCTCAATAACAAGATGTTGGTTGTAGTCTGCTCTTTCACATGGAACAAGCAAACACTAGTTTTGCAGATCCAGAGACAGCTGTTACTCAGTGCTCTACATTTACTTTAAAGGAACAGTCCTGGTGAAATAGAGCATAGCAACACAGGAATTGTCACTTTTGATCAGACCAGTAGTTCATCTACATCTGTTCTCCTGTCCCTGATGGTCCAGAGGAAGAAATCAGATCTACAGGGAAAGACAATTTTACAATAGGAGGTAAATATTGGGCACCTAGCTAAGAAACTTTTGGACAAGTTGTAGAATAAAGGCATGATTCTGCTGAAAACCAGTGTTGAAACAGCAGTGTTTTCATCGCTTCTCTTCCCAGTACAAAAAAAAAGAGAACAAAACTAACAAGCTTTTAAATGAAGAGTGTTTTATGGTTATTTTTGCATCTTTACTTGCTTTTTAAACCACTCTTTGAAAAATCTTCCCATTATTTCTATAATTTGTCTTAAAATGCATGTTAGAAGTAGGATACTTCTAACTTTTATGTAGTTACAGTAGGACTAAGGGACAGGGGACTTGAACTGTAATGCTGCACAGCTGTAAAAGTATGAAATATTTTTCCTTCCTTTGCTCTTGAGAAATCCTTTTGTATTTTTTTTGCTTATCTGTAACTTTTAATTTTTTGCCTTTCACACAGTTGAGCAGATGGACTAATAATCTATGACTTTCATATTATAACTATTTCATCAAATGTATCATGCCAAAGGGTTAATTTTTGGCCTCCTTGTCATGTCTGCAGATGAATACAAGTCAAGCTAGTCATTTCTCCAGAGGGGTGAGAATACCGTCTTATTGAAGCTGACAGACTCAATCAGAGCTGGCTTCTCAAAGCTCTGGGAGAGGATTAGTCACTAGTAACTTCAATTTGACGTGACACCCGAGTGTCACAGCAGCCCCTAGGTGCAGCTCTGAGAGCAGAACAGAAGAAGATATATAAATCTTTCTTCTTCCTCCCCTCACCCCTGCCAAGGGATTTAACTTAACATCATATAACCGCTTGCATTGCCTAAAAGTTAGTGCTGTGCATTTCATATTAAAGGCAAGGATCATCACTTTAATGATAAGAAAGCAGTATATCATTGTCACCAGTGACTGACCCATAATGTGTGGGGACTTGCAAAACACCAAAGTTGGTCCTTTTCTTAGAAGCATTCGAATTGCTTAAATATCTCCTAGAAGACAAGGCTAAGCCATGAATTTCAGGCTTCCATCCAAATTCACTAACAACTTGTGCTAAGTCAGAACAAGGTTTTGACTTGGGTTCAGCTCTAACTCTAATACGATACAAACCCATGAGAATAATACATTTATCCTCAGTGCGAATGGGAAACTGTGTCTCCCTTATGCTTTGTTTTTATATGGAAAAAGCTATGCAGGCAAGTCACAACTGTGCAGATGTGAGAGGACATGTTTTCTGATATGGATGTTTCCAAGAAGACCTATGCCGCTACAGTAACAAAACCGCTGCTGAACAGATGGATTTGTCCATCTCTGATGCTTTTCCCACAGTCAGTGTTCAGTAAGGGAACACTGCGGTGAAAGCACAGATGCTCCTAGCATCTCTTGCAATTCTGTGTTACCAGCAGTGTAATAGAAAGAGTAAAGGCTGTACAATAGCTAAGATACTTCCCCAAGGAATAAAATTATAGCACTCAAGATCAACATGGTATATCCTAAGCTATGATGGCAAACTGCCCAGTGACGCTGAAGCCATCTCTGGGTCTGCTGATATAAAAGTTAGACGGACAGGTTCCTTTAATTTGGATAACAAAGACTGTCAAAGATCCGCAGCTAGCACTTCATCATGTGTTGCTAAATCAGACAAAAATCCCAAGATTTCTGGGATCGCTTCTTTCATTGTTTTCATTTAAAGCAATTTAGTACTGTTTTTGAAAATCCGATGACATCTTTTGTTTTATTCTCAAATGCTGATGGACATGAAATAGGAAAACCATTGATTCAACATTAGCTGAACCTGCAAAAGGACCAGTACTCCTCCATGCAGTCCTATTTCTTTTGAGATTTGGTATTAAGAGTGCACAGCTGCTCCAAGAGAAATCCTCACATTCCTTATTTGAGCACAAGGAGAATGAAGTACACTAGAAGGAGATAAAATTCAATACTGCATGCATGTAGAGTCCCTCTCACTTTCTGCAAGACATTTAACATTTATATCTTTGTTTCCCAGAATGCAGAAGACTGTTTACTTCCAGTGAGAGGGTCAGTTTACCATGTTTCTAAAATCCTCCCCCTCTCCCAAACCACTCTGTAGCATTCTGTGATGGGACACTTCCTATAGAACTTGAGGCAAACACTTTTTTAGGGTTTATACTGATAGTGTGAAGGTTAACTTATGCCAGGGATACATTACCTTAACTATTTCTTAATTAAGGGTAAGATTTCCATCTTCATATTCAAAAGACTCACAGCAGCCAGGCTTAAGTGAAGACTGGAAGGTTTGTTTTACAAATGTTAGTATAGTCCATTGCAAAACTTCCTCCCACATTTGTTTGATTACATCTAAGAAAAGTGTAACAAAATGGATGCAATAATGAATGCTTTTACATGAAGCTACATAGCTCACGACCTTAGGTCACAAACAAGCAGTCAGCCATCACAAATGCCCCAGTGTGAACGCTGCTTCTAAACCCCAGTTAATCCATAAATCTCTTTGTGGCTGAAAAATTATCTCTTGCGCCATCATCTTTTTGTAATCCTTTGATGGCAAAGCACTGAGAGATGAGAAAGTGGCTGCGTGTTACTGGTACTACTTGGGCTTGGCTGCTTGGTGGGATTTACATATTCCAAACTTGCTTCTGAAATTCATCACTGTATCTGTTGAATTACAATGATTTCAGGGCTCAAATGAACTAAATAAGGCACTTCTTAAAAGCATAAATGAGGCCAAGAAGATTCATCTGGTCCCATGCCACCTGCGAGAGAAGTTTGTGCTACGTTTTGCTATTTGTTCCCGCACAGTGGAATCCACCCACATCAAGTTTGCCTGGCAGCACATCTCACAGCTGGCAACTGATCTTCTGAAAACATGGGAGCAAAACCACCACCAGCAGTAACAGCAGTGAAGTAGCAGTGGGGAGGAGGTAATTAACTGGCTTTCTCTCTGTTGCCAAGTTTTATTTTAGGGGCAGGTGGGAAAGTCAAATTATGAGGGAAAAAATACAAAACCTGTTGTTATACAGCCCAGCTGCAGTAGCAAAATCCTTGCCAGCAAGTTGTGTTGTAACCTTAGTCGTTCCTTCTCTGTACTGTAGTTTCATCTTGCCTGTTTCCAGGATGCACATAGCCATGGGGACTCGAACTGTCATTTCTTACCAGTTTGTAATCAAGAGCATTTATTGAACCAGGCAGTGGAAATGGAAGGGTTAGTGCTCCCTCTGTTGTCCCCATTAACCGCTAGCACACCCACTCCTTTCTTCACAGATGAAACTGTGAGGTGTTATAACCAATTAATTTAACATTACTGTGACTTCAGAAAGTATCCAAGTTGGGAGCAGTTCAGTAACCTGGTTATAACACTGTTCAGGTCCTATCTAAACAGGCATGCACAAATGTTGTTGTCATGATTTGGGGCACTATCATGTCATGACACGCTTGCTGCAATAATTTTGTAAATGAAGTTAGGACTTCAAGACTTCCTTCATTACCTAGCCAGATCAGGGGGGAGTGAGCACTAAATGAATGCTAACGGTCCTTATGGCAGGTTCTCTACTTTCTCTTAAAGGGTTTGCTTTTAAAACAGCCATTTTGTCAAATCTCAGCAAATGGGTTATGCTGGCTATTGGGTTTCACTTTGATCATTCAGAATGAGGCCTCTTAAAAGCTCCTTCTTAAGACTTTTGTCAAAAGCCATGTGCTACCTGGTAGTCTGTATTTTTAACCAAGTTATAAGGAGTGGTTACTTGAAAATAATCTGTAAGCTATGTTCTGTGGAATAGAGTTGTGATTTCTTTTTATGGCTACCGTTCTTCTTACTTCATTGTGTGATAAATCTTTGACAAAATGTGCTAAGAAATGTGATGGCAAAAATGTTACTCTTCATTTCTCAAATTAGCTAACAAGAAAACAAATTACAATAAAAACAGAAATTAAGAGAACTACCCCTCAAAATATGCTGTGGTGCCCCCATGGTTTTCTTCCATTAACAGTGACACATTGAACATGAAAATATTGGAAAACAATTAACCTTCAGAAAAAATCAAATAATGTGTACTTGACACAAGCCATTGATATGTCATCCTGTTGAATGCAGGTACAGTAAAGAGGTGAAATGAAAGTCAAAAACAATAGCTGACTTTAATAAGTACTTCTGCCATTTTAAAAACATAAATTCCAGACAGTTATTTCTATGTAAATAAGAACAAAATAAAGAGCTACTCCAAGAAAAATAATCTGTAGGATTCATTTCTATATTTGCATTTGTTTTAATCTTTTCCTTTTACTGCTCATTATTAACTTCTAAAGCATCTTGAACAGCTTGCACAATTATTCAGCTTTCTTCCTCCATCCCTTGCAAGTATAATTCCTACATTTGGGAAGTTGCAAGTAGACCATGAAACATGCACCGGGACAGTTAATTTGGCACGCAGTCTGTTCCTACCCACCATCTTTCCAGAAGGGATTAAAGAAGTTGACTATGGACCAGGTGGATTTTTCTGGTGATTCTGGTGATTCCTTACACCTCACTGCTGTGGTGCAAACTGGGGAAGGATTAGTATGAATGTGTGTGCAAGTGCTACATAAGAGGTGTGCATGAATCCTAACACTTAGGAAGGACTGACCAAGCTCTGCATTTCCAGCAGGTCGAGCCACGCAACTAGGGTAGGTGATGGCATACCGCCCTTCTGTAAGGCTAGCCAGGAGCTATGTTATCCACCCAGATGGAAAAGCTGATTACTATTTCTTTAAGGAATTGCTTTCACAGGTAACAGATGAAGCAAGGGGTGACAAATTAATCTGGCAAAAACAAGTAATACTCGAGCAGGTGACTGAGCCATTCCACAAGATACTATTCTCAGCCACAGTATGAGAAATTTTGATAGCATCATTCTCTTTAGCAGAACCAATGTGAAATTAAGGTTTTCTATAGTAGCACAATGCAATAGATTGGTAGACTGAAGAGAGCGGAAAATGCTGGCAGTTGTTTCCTTTCTCTGTTTTTAGGTTTTTTAAAACATTATTCAGTTTTCATGACTTGGGAAACAATGTTCATGCATAGCACATATGGTCCACACTGATACCATTTTACAACTTTTACATTATGAAAACACTAGAATCTAGGAGCCAGAGAAGAATTACACCGTCTCTGTGAGACCAGTATTTTGTATGTGAAATATATAACCAGGTCTGTCCAGGAAAAAAAAAAGGGATCAGATTCTGATCAGAGCTATCCTAAGAGTAAATCCAGGATAATTCCACTGAAATGAAATGGAGTTGCTTTGGGCTTATGTGACTATAATTGAAATTAAAATCTAACTAATAAGTATTGGAAAAGAAATGCATAGAGTAAGGCAACACCAGACTGAATATAAGCGGATTTTGGTGGAAATCCTCTCCATGGAAACCAGAGCAGAGGTGGATGATGCATGCCTGTGTGAGCCTCAGAACTGCTGTAGAACAGGGACACGGGCAGGATGCACATCCAAACCTAGGAGAGGTGAAATGTTCCCAACAGCCCAGGATTAGACATAGGTCTAGACATTTGTGGGAAAATGTTGCCAAAACTGACATTCAATTAAACATTTTTCAGCATGGGTATCAGTTTTAGAAAAGACTGTTGTCCACATACTGAAACTCCTTTTGGCAAAGAATTTAGGATAAGGGTTAATTTAAAATATTATAAATGCAGTAGAACTGTTAATTTATTTTTGTTTTTAAAGAACTGATGTAAGTAAATCTTCTAATAAACAGCAGTGACAAGACCCATGGAATTCCATTTCCCCATGGCCAGCCCAATACAGAAATCTGAAGTTCACAGTTCTAGTTTTTCTGAAATTCTGGGATGATTTGAATATGTAATTGGTGAGGGCCGCTGTCGTGGTTTAACCCCAGCCAGCAACTAAGCACCACGCAGCCACTCACTCACTTCCCCCCCACCCAGTGGGAAAAAAAGTAAAACTCGTGAGTTAAGAACAATTTAATAGAACAGAAAAGAAGAAACTAATAATGATAATAACACTAATAAAATGACAATAATAATAGAAGGATTGGAATATACAAAACAAGCGAGGCACAATGCATTGCTCACCACCTGCCGACCTGTGCCCAGTGAGTTCCTGAGCAGCGATTCCCCCCAGGCCAACTCCCCCCAGTTTATATACTGGGCTTGACACCCCTTTGGCCAGTTTGGGTCAGCTGCTCTGGCTGTGTCCTGTGCCAACTCCTTGTGCCCCTCCAGCCTTCTCGCTGGCTGGGCATGAGAAGCTGAAAAATCCTTGACTTGGTATAAACACAACTCAGCAACAACTGAAACCATCAGTGTGTTATCAACATTCTTCTCATACTGAACCCAAAACATAACACTATACCAGCTACTAGGAAGAAAATTAACTCTATCCTAGCTGAAACGAAGACATTGGTATTTTAGTATTCAGTCTCTCATACCCTCTTTTCCCCACGTGATAATTCCTTTGTAGACTATTAATGTTAGGTCATCTGAAAACGGAATCTGGGCTATGTAATCAACTCAAGAACAAAAGTGTTGAACATTTTGAAAGAAGAACCTAACTGCTGTTTCTGTTCTGTAGCTTTGCAACATAGCTGTAAGTGAAAAATACTGTATGAATAGTTAACGTGAACCTGGATTTATTGTGCCTTGTGTGCAAAAGTTAATGCAGTCTGTGCCAATTAATACTGTTCGATGTTAAAAATAATTACCAAATCTCAGAATTGTGCTTTAGTAGAATATCCACATCTCAAGGGAGACAGTGCGGCTACTAGAGAAGGAGGGAAAAAAGTAACTTTTCAGCAACCATATGTGGTTTTTTTTTAAAAATAGTAGAGTGCTAGTACAATGCTTGCATTCTTAGTAATAATGACAGATTATGAATATATTTATTACTGATGGGGAAATATTGAAAAGATAATGTATTTATAAAAGTATTGTTAATATATTATACTCTGAACTGCATTATAATTATTAAATTTCTAATTTTCTCTTGCCTTTACATGTAAGATTCTGCTCATGCTGGTTGTTTTTTTGTTGTTGATGTCTCCTGTAAGGATACCACATTTGATGAGTAGTACCCACATTGCAGTTGCCTTACAACAGCAGTCTAAACCCCGAGACATGCGTAAACTTGAATTGCTCAAAGACGGGAGCAAATGAGAAATACAACTGAGAACCTTGAAGACCACAGTGGTGGGGGCAGATTAAATACCCACCGATGGATGCTATCTACATAGCATATGTAGAGTCTGCATGACCTTAATGGAAAGATAATCAGATGTTTAGTGCTTTTTTATTGTAATTTGTGAGCTGTCGAGTTAAAATCTGTATCCAAAGCCTACTAAACAGATATATGTAGGTTTTAATTGGCAGCATTAATAAATGGAAATAAAACTATTACTATTGTCTGTCTTTGCTCTTAACCAAGCTTTTCCCATTTTATTCATGCCAGATACGCTGTAAGGGGTCCAGCTTCCCCACTCAGGTCATGTCAGTGCCCTGATTTTCATCATCGGTGACTTGTTCTCAATGTGTTCTTCGAACAAATTACTTTTCAAATGAGAGTTCCTGCAGGAAGTTTCCTCCCCAGAAGCATGAGTCTGAAAAATGCCTGGCCGTAACGAGGGTCGATGCAGACCCTTCCGTAAAGTTCCGCGTGGTCCTGCAGCTGGATCTGCCGCTGGAGCCAGCCGCCCGGCTTCAGCTGTGGTCTGCAGGTCAGGCGCCATCAGGTAGGAGCAGGCAGTGGCCCGTTTCGGTAAGCCCTGCGTGGCTGCAGCCTCACTCCCGAGGGGAGCTCGCGGCCGCAGGCTCCTTCGCTCCCTGCCCCCGCACAACCCACGGGAAATCGGGAGAGCACGCCTTGGGGGAAATTCGATGGCAGCAAGCGTTGCAGAGGACAAACGTTAGCCCAACTTTGTCTTGGGTGATGGCTCGCAGAGTTTAAGGACAGACAGTTTAATGTGCTGCCTGCGCCACTGGCGGAACAAAACCCTGACAGTAACTGCAAGAAGCGTTTCTCACAGGAAATTAAACGCTCACCCAGGCAGAAGTGGCTGTGTTAATACCAGAGGTGTGACTGCAGCGTAGCGCGCTAATTTGCATCTAGATCGGTGCGCTGATTTGACGGTGGGTCGGCCTGATCCAGCGAGGGCCTCCGCGACCAGGTTCGGTTCGCGGGACCCATCCACCCGGGCCACCGTCTTTTGCCCCGCGAGGCGCCGTGTTACTCACCAGGCAGCCCGGCCGCCGCTGCCGGGACCTTTCTCAGAGTTTTTCTCCCCAAAAGGCCGGTCCGGCGGCAGGTCCGCCGCCCGCGGAGCCCGCCCGGGCCGAGGGCGGCCGCTGAGGCGAGGGGCGGCGCCTCCTCCCGCCCTTCCCGAGGCACGGACCCCGCGTCTATTGGAGGGCGCGCGCCTCCGGCGCAGCCAATAGGGAGCGGGGGAGGCCCCGCGTGCAGGCCTCGCTCCGCCCGCCCCCTGGCTCCCCGCCCCTCCCGGAGCTCCCGGAGCCCCCTTTCCAACTCGGCCCGCCCTCCCGATCTCGGATTGGCTGCACCTCCCGGCGCCCTGTTATCCGATTGGCGGGGCCCGGGGCAGAGCGGGCGCGGGATCCGCTGAGGCGGCTGGCGGCGGCCGTGGCCGGTG